CACAGACCCGATTTGTTATTATTAATATTCTACTATTATTGCTCTAAATTTTTTTAAATGGCAATTATAATGCTGACATTATTGAAAATTGTGTATTATTGCATTTTTTGAAGAAACCCGAAATGGTTTCCTCACAACACTTATGTACCCATAAGATGTTTGTGAATAATAATAATTATTATCATTAACAATTCTGCAGTATGAATAGCCTAGAAAGGCAACTTATGTCTTTAACTAATGTGATTAGAACTTAAACGGACCAACCAAATTCACCTAGCGAAACTAGTGTGTATGAACGTTTGCTGGGGACTACACAGAATTCAACCCATATTGGTTTTAACTAACACGAGAGTACGAAAACTGTCCTTGTCGAAATTTACGAGGCCTTGGTAAACTCCTGGAAACGTTCCATCTACTGAGCATTGAGCAGGATCCCAGAAACGTTAAGTAATCTGAAAACTGTGCCACGTTTAGTTCGGATAATTGTCTCTAATGTGCCGTATGTGGTATGCTATCAAAACTTACTCACATTTTGCTTCTTTACTCTTGTTTGGTGCAAAGGATAGAAATAGGCTAGTGTTGTGTGAGGTAGCTAGGAAGCCAATGTCGCCTTTAAATTAAGCAGATTTTTAATCATGAATAACTGAGGGTTAACCCAGACTGTTGCGCTTGCCCAGTTGAAATTACAAACTAAGTGGTTAGGTAAGGAAAAATTCCAACCTAATATTACTGCCCAGTTTTTCAATCAATCATTGATTGGCATACTCGAATAATCAATTAGTTCGCAACAAATGAACGATCCTATCAATACAATAATATTATTTTAGCCTGTATTGTGATGTCGAGTCGCGGTTGACTATGATCAACACTACAAGAACATTACGTGCCAGTTAACTGATAAGTCCCTCGTAGGCCAAATATCAGAAGGCAGTTTGTGGCTGTAGTCGAGATGTATTTGTTGACGATATCGTGGTATTAAAAGAATACCGAGATCGTGTCAGGTTACAAGTGTGGTTAATTAGCGTAACCGAATTCGTGCAAAGTCACAATCAACGGAATAATGTATGTCTTTAGTACAGTTAAACAAACAAGTACAGTATAACAATCACTGGTACAACTGGTTATAGAAAGGGTTTACACTCTCGATAAGTAGCGGTTTCGTTCGTGTGAATGATTGGCAAACGTGCAATTGTAGGACGAAATGGTTGGCGCAACAGAAAGCGACCATTCATCATAGAGTTGGCACCGAAGGTCTTTTACGGAGAACGGTACCAGGAGAAACGTGCTGTATTTGTTGCTCGAGTTAGCGCACCACACCAGAGTGGTTCGTATCCAGGATCTGAGGATTGCGCTCGTAGTGATGCGGACCAGAAGACGCTGCAGAGGTAGGACGGAATCACGGTAAGCGAAGGAACGAGAAGCGACCATAACAGCCTAGTGCGAGACCAAACGTATGCCAGACATATTCGGAACCAGAACATTGACTGAGTGCGTTGACAAGAGCGTGGGTGATAAGGCCAGCTTTCGCCAAAATTGACTGAAATCGATGGTGCCAAACGGGCGATGGTCGCAGATGTGGGCTAAGGATACAAAAAAACAAGAAAAAAGAGAAAAGATATAGCTTGCATGTAGTATAGGAATAGATTCCTATGCCGTATCCGTTGGTGAATGTGCGGTTAGTCGCGAAAGCGTACGGGTAGGCATACTCGGCGACTGGAACGTGAGACGGTAGTCTCGTTCGTACTTCATGAGCCTGCAATCTCATTCGAAGTCAAGGGCGGCGTGGTCTGTTGATCTCGACCTGAGACTGTCGTCTCGTCCGTAGATGGTGCAAATGACACGTTTTGTTGACCGGGACGTGAGAATGAGGTCTCGGATGTATCTAATGTACGACCTGGAGTATATCACGCTGGTAGGTTTGATAGGTCTAGAATTGGGTCTCAAGTTATCTTGCAGGGCACTGTCATCGACGTGTGCTGGTTTGAGATGATCAATACTAACTATCTCGACGCCGTCATTTCGATCAACCTTGAAAGTCTTTTCCTGCCGAGAAATTACGTGAAAAGGTCCTTCGTAAGGCTGTGGGAGAGCTTTGCATACCGAATCTACTCGTATGAAAACATGTGAACAAGTAGATAATTCTCGAGGGAGAGTGAACTGTCGATGTTGTATTCGAGTTGACACCGGAGACAGTGTTCGCATAAATTCAGACAGTAGATGGACGTAGTCGGATTTACCGAAATCTTTACTGGCTCCCTGTTGTGAAAAATTCCCCAGGCAGACGCAATGTCGTGCCGTATACAAGTTCAGGGGCGGAACATTGAATATCTGCCTTTATGCTCGTTCTGATACCTGATACTTTAAAGTTAGCGATGAAACCGTTCGACTAAACCATTTGATGCCGGGTGATAAGCGGTAGTGCGTATGCGTTTCGTACCAAGCAGCCGTGTCAGTGAGGAGAATGATGCGGACTCGAATTGTTGTCCTCGGCCAGTCGACGGACAACTGTACAGCGCTATCCATCGTTCTACGAAGCGGTGAGCAACTGTCTCTGCCGTAATAGACGTGATAAAAGTAGCTTCTGGCCGTCTTGTTGAACGATCAATACACGTGAGTATGTGATCATACCCGTGCGATGGTAGCCATGGTCCTACAATGTCTATATGAACGTGATCGACCGAACGTGCCAATCGGGGCAGCTACTTGCCTGTGAACTTTTGATCTTTGACATTGTAAGCATTGCTTTACCCACATATGTACATATTTATTCATGGACGGCCAGAAGTATCGTGCAGCGATGGGGCATAATGTAGCTGTGGTACCTGGATCAGACAGTCCACACAGGGCACCGAAGACGAGACAACGGTAAGCAGAGGGTACGATGGGTCGGGGTAGACCGGTAGAAATATCACATAGGATAGTACCTGAGCTAGTAGCTAGGGGTATGGATAGTAATAGGATGGCATGGCATGTAGGCTAAACTCGAAATAATAAATGTAACATTATTAATCACAAGAGGTTATCGAGATTGCATAATACAAAGTGTGTAAATTATCGGATTGTAGAGAATATTAACGGAAGTAGTTAGAAAACGACTAATAAATACAGGATGTGGAAATTATCATATTCAGCCAAAACGCGCACATGGATGTTACAAACTGCTTCTGGACACTTGGACAACTATAGCTTTTGCCATATGTTGGAAAACAAGGAACTTATACGTTAGATTACTGGAAAGGATTTGGGTTTCTTCAGAATGTGACCACAGTCAAACAAATGCACCTCGATAGAGTTATTCAGTTTTAAACGTTTATGTCGAAGATTTATACAACTCACATTGACACAAATACCGTGACTCATTTTAAGTGCGCAAACCAATACTTCATATATGACATCAAAAACAATGGAAGATATCCGAGTAAGCTTCATGCAATTACCCTGTAATACAATGCAAGAAAATGCTAGCATAGGGTGCCGACCAGGATTCTCCACTGAACTCCGCTTTCCAGTTGTTCCTAAGTGATATTCACTCTTTTGATATGTGCCTCCTATTCTCACCACAATATGTTCTTCGGTTTACCTCTTCTCCTTTTGCATTTAGGATCCCGTATTACAGCTTGACTCGAGATGCAGTTTGATCACTCCCACCATGTGTGCCTTATCCATCTCCTATATCTTTTCCGAATTTCCTCTTAGGCAGGAAGGTCGCTTGTTCTTCGCCACAGTAAGTTATTGCCGATGATGCCTGCCCGACCGATATGAAGAAATTTATGTGATATGATAGAAAGAGTAGCCAATTTCCTATTGCTTTACTAATTATGAGTTTTGTTCAAAATTACTTCCGTTTTGAGTCAATGTGATGATCAATCAGCGTACTATCTGATTATTTTTCTCACATATTTTATTCCGTATAATATACGATATTCTTGTATTCAGTTGACATGAACTATGCTCAGTAAGTGATTTGTTATAACTGAGTATGTGATTTAATCCTAATTATTAATCAAAATGAGTGTACAATCAATATATATAAGCCAGTGTATTTTAGACTAGGATCGTCGTCGTCATAGAGCTTTTGGGGCTAATAAACCTTTACTTATACCAGTCTTTGTGTTGTTACTTTCGCGTTGTGGGAACTACAGAGGGCCCTCGTTCCGAGTATAAGTAATAAGCGTTTTTCCGACAACAACAATCAGCGACAACCAGATATAACATTATGTAAACAACTGTTCATAAACATCTGTACCTTTTGATGAGGGTTGTATTAGTTCTCCAGGTTTTAGTTCTGTACAGTAGAACTATATTGACGTTCATATTGAAAATTGTGATCTCGGTGTCGAATGACAGTTGTTTTGAGTTCCAGATTTTCATCAGTTGTAGGAATGCTGTCCTTGTTTTTTCAATCCGTACCTTCACATCTGCACCAGATCATCTTTGTTTATCAATTATGCTGCTCGGATACGTAACAGTTTCTATCTCTTTCAGAGCCTCTCCATCCTTTTGGTATAATGATACTACTTATAAGTAATTCGGATTTATTTCTTTTCTTGTATTTTATTGACTGAATTGACTGTTTTCTTATTTTCACGGCTTAAACCACAGAATGATTTTAGTTAGACAACCACTGGAAATCTAGAAGCACTGAATGTATGATTCGCCTTAGAACGAAACTCCTCATTACTGAGAGAGCATCCACGATACCTCAACCATGAAACAAAACCAAGATATTCGGTCTCGAGCACAGACAAGACCATTCATCTAGTTTTAAATCATTTCTCACTGCTTGACACAAATTTTAAAATAACATCGATTATAACACTTTATTTCAATTGAAAAGAATTATACTTATTAAACGAATTAATCATATAAGAAAAGTAAGTTATTTACAAGTTTGTTTGTTTTGTTCACATTGAAAAGAAATTACTTGTAAATGTTCAATACTTAAAGAATATGAAATTTGTATACTTAAATAATGTTCTTCATTAGATCTTAATTACATTTTATTCAGGTAATAATTCATTTAAATTATTTATTGAATTCATTAATTGTTTACTTAATTCATCACATTGTGTTAATAAACATGAAATTTGACTAGTTAATAAAACAATATTCTCAATTTGTTGAGATCCGGATAATTTCGTCGAATCATTTATTGAATTTGTAATTGTATTAACTTTCTTTGGACTATTGAAAGGACTTTGAAATATTGAATTAATGGAATGTTGATTATTTTTGATGCCTTTTTCACGTGCTTGAAATGTTTCAACAAGTTGTGAAATATCTCGATCAATCTGTTAGAGAAAAAAAAGTAAAGTATGGAAAATAAAATTCATATTACAAATTTTTTCGTTAAATAACTACAAAGGGTAAATAATAAATTAATTTGATTGTATCCATTACAGATTATCCTCAACTGGAAGAACATTATGAAACAGGGAACACTGGACAGCTATATTTTTAGGGGTTCTATTCAGTAGGTCATTCAATCATTAGATTACCCTGTTTTTACAACATATCAATTTAGTTTTACGGAGCAACAATCATCCAGAAATATCCACAGTGAAACAATTGTTATTCATGGTATGACATGATCGTTTCCCTCTATTAAAGAGGTATCCATAACTAATTCTTATATTACAGATCAATTTTCTGACAGTCGATAATCTTGAAGAGTTATGAATGGGATTTCATCAATGTATACGAAAAAGATAACCTCAGATTATAAACTTATTATTACTAGTGATCAATTAATAATCAACATTAGTAAATTTTGAAATCTTTATTTGAATAAATTATCCAACATGATTTACTAGTTGATAAATTGAGTTTAGATATATCACGAATTTTAAGGTGAAACGATAGGTGAATGATTATGCACACGGTACACAACTAAAGGATACTGATTATGAACTTAGTCAAAGTTTTGGTTTGCACGTTGTTGACTAGGCAAGAAAGACAGATGTACGTATACCCATGGCTTGTGTATATCTTATTCAGGTAGCCAAAAGAAGCCTGTTGATTATTTCTTTGCCTTTTCGTTTGGATATCGAATTGAAGTAAGCATACAGAAAGTGCATGCATATGTATCTGAACCGGACGACAGTAAAACATAGAGCTAATGCAGTATCAAAAACATCAATCGTAAACATATTAACAATGTGAAAAACAATAAAAAAAAACTAATGCAGTCGAAAATAATAGAAAAAAGTATGTATACTCACTTTATTTTCTATAATGATCAGATCAGATTGTTTTTGTGACAACTCAGTAGTATATTTATGCAAATATTGCTCATAGACTGATGACATTTTCACCAACTGTTTCGTAAGAAAAACAAAAGAGAAAAGACTAAAAGAGTAAAGAATAAAAAAGCGAGAAAACAATGAAAAGTACGTTGACTACAATAAACTTAAAACGTTAAGGGATATCGTCTTGTGTAGACAAGTTACAAAAAGGTAGACAGTGAAAAGAATTAAAAATGAATAGCGAGGATAATTGTTTACCAGTTGTACATCGCAAAATATAAAGGTCTTACTTAATTCAATTTGCAATCATTTGGATTGCTTTGTTATCGACTGTGAACTGAATTAAAATTTGTAGTTGTTGCATACGTGAATGACTTTCTGAAATCAGTAGTCAAGCGGATATGTCCAGCGTTTAAAATGAAAGGTACTGTATCCGGATTCCAGAGTGAACAACAAATGTGGAATGCAGGTACATCCGGGGGATGAGTTCTGAATAAAACGAAATGTCTGTCCTGGATTTCACTGCTAAGTATGTTACATCTATTCTGCAAAGGTCTTACGACTGGTTGTATGTAACAGTGTGTGTTCTGTTGAGAATTCTCAAATGAAAACGAGACAACACCATAGAGATATTTAGTAGTCAATCCATAAGTTCCCGACTGTATTAGTTAGTGAAAAAGCATCAATTTCAAAATTATTGGTGTGTTTAAAATTCATCAAGATCGGAAATATATTCCAAACTATAGGATTATTTTCATCTTTTAATTGGTGCATAGGCAACAGTTTGAATTGATCAATTTGTCAGTTAGTCATACGTAACGTACAGCGTGGTACATTTATGCATCACCTCAGGTTACCCCACATCTCATCAGCATAACGAGATGTTAGATTAATAGTGATAGTAAGAAGAACTAAGCACAGACAATAAAATTCAAGAAGAATGAATTTGTGAAATAAAAAATATAAGATCATTTTGAAACTTCAGATCTAAAAGGAGACCGAGAATGAACGCAACTGTCGAATTTTGATCGGTTCCCAGTCATTTCACCTAACATCCCCAAACACTGACTACGACAAGTATGTGGATCCCAATCAGGTAGTCCGCAACTACGAGGATGCTTCAGTTCAACAACCACTTGATGGACTGACCTCATGTTTTAATTTCACCGCCTCCAGCTTTCTGTTAGCTTACTCTTACACTATGCATCACCCATTAAGGTAGACGGTAGTTAGCCATACATAATACACATTCCAACCACATCAATCAATGACGGTTCAGAACCACACTAACTAATTTTTCATATTCACCATGTACCCTATACCCAACCTCAATATTGCTAACTCGATGGTTTCAATATGTGCGTAACTGTTCAAGAGCATCCGCGAACAAATAATAGTAACTTACAGGTATACTGTACAGCACAATTAACTATTGTGTAGTATACTCTTCCCTTGGTTGACAGATAAACATTTCACTAGCCCCATAAGTGAAGCTGGTTGGCAAAAGCCCATAGAACTTTCTGAATCCTGGGGGAGATTTCATCAGGCATTAAACCCACTAAGACTGATGAGACTCCTAAGATAATTGAAATGGTCGATGTGCTAGACCACTTCACTTCCTATCATTAGTTTAGGCGTAGATACAAACTAGACTCAATACTTTGTTAGTCTTTACAAAACATTTGATTATATGTGTATCAGCGATTACTGAAATCATTTTTCCATTTGCAACTGACTGTATTCAACGAGTTTCATAATTTATTTCGTCCAGTTCGTACTTCCGACAAGATTCTAGCAAATCAAAGTATAGAATACGACCAATAAACTCAAGTATATTGACGTGATATTTTTTATCTGCCTAGCCACATATCCTTGTGTTTGTTTGCACTGAGAGCTGACCGTTACTGCTGGGTATTATTACCTTAAACGGAAGTCTTTTAATCTAAGCTAATTATTATTCATTATTAAACCATTAACCATTATATTTAAGTGGAGTTTTGTTCTCTGGGCTGGATGGTTCGGTCGTGGAGCTTTCATTGTAGAAATGAAGTGTTCGGATTTCTCCGCATATGACTCACAGCTTGTCCTGTAGACCTTGATTTTGATTGGTTATTGTTGACCCTTAACCTGCCATTGTCTTCCACTTTATTTTGATTGTATCTCCCATTGATTTGATTCTTCATCTCATATTTGTCCATGTTTTTTCTGATTGGTTGACAGAGTGGATTGATATCAATGCGTTTGCTGATTGCTGATTGACCTGAGTGCCAAGCTTCTATCCAAGATCTCAACATTTGCCAGTCGAATGTGTCCACATGGATTAATATAAGTGAAGATATGTCATGGAGTTTGACAGCTAATATTCGTGCAGGGGAAGATGAAGGTGGTATCCACTTTGTCTGTAGTGTTTTTCGCAGTTGTCTCTATTTATTTTGTAGATAGGAGATGCAATCAAAATAAAGTGGAAGACAATGGCAGTTTAAGGGTCAGTGATAATTAATCAAAATCAAGGTCTACAGGACAAGCTGTGAGTCATATGTAGAGAAATTCGAACACTTCACTTCTACTTGAAGTTTGTGCTGATGATATTGTTCAGAAGAACAATGAAAGCTCCACGACCAAACCATCCAGCCCAGAAAAAAAACTCTACGTAAATCATCCACTTCAGCTACAAATCTTCTCCATTGTTCATAAATATTCAAATAGAAATGTTACATATAACTAAGACGACTGTATTTTATTTTAATCAAACCCAGTAAGTCTAAAACAATCTTTCTACTTAGCAAGTCGTAGAGCCATCATCAACCATACCTAAGTGAAGATGAAATTCATTCATAGATTAATATTAAATTATGTTTGCACATTTATAACAATTATTTTCAATAAATTCATAAATATTTCTCTATAATCGATAATTGACAGATTACCGCTTCATAATCGAACTCTGGAACATGTGGAATAAATTGTCTCTTTTTAAATGCTGTTGACGTTGACGACGATAATGATGGAATCGATTGAGAGGTTGATGCATAGGGTTGATTCTCCATTGTTGCTGCCATTGATGAATGATATTGTACTTTCATAGTAGACGAAATTGGTTCAAATCTAGAAATCCATTGAAGTTTTTGTAATATAACTCGACCTAATTCTGTATGATTGTTGCAACCATCTCTACTGCCACTTAAATCATAATGACTTGAAGTATGACGACCACGATTGACAATTAGTATACCGGCATCAGCTTGTTTACGATTAGTCGTTGAGGATAACTTGTCGAATGAGTAATTTAACGATTTAGTCGAAGAAGATCTTTGACATATATCTAAACCCAGCTCAGTTGATGAAGTAAAAGTATCTTTTGGTAGACTAGATACAGAATTTCGTTGTTGGTGTTTTTGCTTAGAAGGACTTTGAAAGCTACCATAATTGCGACTATTGTTAGTGTTGTTCAAATACGAGGTACTAGCAAGTCCCGATAATGATGAACGACGCCAATCATATTGAGGCGAAGAAGGTAGAGATGAAGAATGACCTAAGGACAACAGATCAGTATATCCATAAAAGGAATTACATTCAAAGTGAAATAAGATCTAGTTAGTTAGCTATAATAAACAATGTATAAATTGAGATAAATGTGTATCAGTCCAAATTGCTTTATTTCAATACAACATAGCAAGAACGGAATTTAACAGGATGAGAGATAATTGAACGAGTCAAAACGACAAAATGTCAAAAGAAAAAAAACACAAAGGAATAAGTGCTTAGCTCGATTGGGTCATTTTGACATGCAAGTCTGATAACCACGTTAAGGTAGGAGCTACGGCTACCACCAATCTTTTATTCTTTCTCTGTATTCAAATGTCAAGAAGTTACTCACAAGATATGGCTATATACCTGATATACATTGAAGCATCTGTAGTGAATACACAATTTAAATTGGCTATTTATGTTCGTAGATGATAAACTTCAGATCGTCTAAACAATTAATTCGTTTTTTTCATATAAACATATTTGAATTCGTAATTCCATCTAGGTTTTTTAGTTAGTTTGAGTGAAACAGAAAACTATTGACATCGAACAGAAAGAGACGGTTATCTTTGAATTCACACTATTAAAAGACTAAATCACTACTGGTCAGTAAATTCATGTTTATTTCATAATGAAGGAGTATTATGACTGAAGCTAGCCCAACAGAGTCGTCCTAGAGTAACGTATATATATATATATACGTATATCCACTTGAAAAATGGTTATTTGAAAAATATGTATTATATTACGTTATAAAAGGAAAAGCCAGGATAACAGATCGAGTTAGAGAGATTCTAATAAGTTACAGTTTATTTAGAGCAATCATACTTACCAGATCTTTTTGTTGACTGGAAAGAATTTAGCTGAGAATCTCTTGTGAAATTATGTGACTTCTGCTGACTAACACTGTGTTCTGCACCCATTCAGTTCGGCATTAGGACGAAAATAGTTTTAGAGTCTACAAAATGAATAGAGATAATAGATTATAGTGTTTACCATGCATTTACAGTCTGTGATAGCCTAGGAGGGATAGAGAGAGAGAAATTAGGACAAATAGTAAAGCTAGGAAGAAAATGATAACCGCACTTTTACATCAGAGGGAAATTAAACGCCACTATGATCTATAGAGTCATCGTAACTATTTTTTAGTCCAACGTTCCTGAGAAATATATTTCACAAAGATATTCGACATGAAAGTAAAAAAAAGAATCCATTAAAAAAAACCTACACTGACGTTTTAAAAGTGCTCAACTTGAATGTTCTTTAATGATCCAAACAGTTTGGTTTATATTTTTGAGTACACTCGTATAACGGTTGAGTTAAAAGAATAAAATTCAGTGAATGAACTTTCCCAAATCTAATGAGAATTAGGTCTAATAAACTGATTGATAAATGATAAACAAAATAGATTGTCATTTATTAACAAGATTAAATTTTAGTTTACTAACCACATGCCATTGTAACAACTTAAGGTTCTTGAGGACTGGATCAAAAACATATCGATTGTTTGAGGAAATCAAACATCCTTACATTATAACATTATCATTGTGTTCAACTGAAAGACAGGATAATTAGATTTTTTAAATCATCCATATGAATGATTTTAGCATATCGCTATTTTCTAGACTGAATATATTAATTGCAGTTGATAAGTTTCAAGTAAGTCAATATGAGAAAATTCTGAGGAAGTAAAATTTGATTCTTTGAATAACTTTAACGCAAACCAATTTAAGACAGCAACGTTTCAAGTGTATGTTGTCCATTATGCAAACAACAGATTCCTCATTTTCGTGACCACATTTAACGCCCTCCATATGTATCAATATAGATATAGAAATTCTTGTTCAATCTTACAAAAAGAACCGGTAGTACACAACAACGGTAGTGGCTAAAAATCTCTTTTGATTGCTATTTATGATTCATTTAACCTTATAAATAAGGTATAACATCACAACATTCAGTGAATCTGTCAATAAATAGAAAATTACTACATTTTTTATACGAAACAAAATGACGAAATGTACTTTGATGCAGAATTCTTGTTTAAATATTAAAAAAAAAACGAAATTTAGCGAAGGGATCTTTTCTTTCAACGAATTTATTACGAGGCTGTACAATCGTATATACATAGAAGCACCGTGACGACATATGAACAAAAAATAAACATGATGACGTAATAGAAAGATTGTAATCCTAGATTACGTAATATGAATAACAACAATAAAATATTATGTGTCTGCTAATAAAAAGCCATGTAAAATTAATAAGCTAGCAACGAATTATTATGTGAATAAAGTAAGATAATTAAAATGTTTTTTGGTACCAGAAGAAGTTTTGTGGAGATTGTAGTAATTTCAACAGTTGAGATCATGAGTCGATTGAAGCTAGACCACTATGGAAAACCTGGAAGCACGGGATGGCCGTTTCGTCCTAGCGTGGGACTTCTCAGCAGTGCGCATCCACGACAACGCCCCGAGGGATTCGAACACAGGACCTATCAGTCACGCGCCAGGCGCTTGACCAACTAGACCACTGAGCCGGCGCCCAACGATGTTAATGTCTAAATTTAACTAATTCACGAATTTGAGCGACACATCCACCATTGTCATCAGTGAGTTACTAAATCACAACTGACCCGGTTGAACTCCACTGGTCATTGGATGCGCACTGCTGAGGAGTCCCACAATAAGACCAAACGGCCGTTCAGTGCCTCCGGGTTTTCCATGGTGGTCTAGCTTTAATTGACTCACGATCTCAACTGTTGAAATTACAATGTTTTTTTAGGTGTCGTTACCAAGGTTTGATTTGATAATTTCGAATAAATTGAACATCGAGTTGATTGTTATAAATAAAAATAATATATTTGTAATATCCCAATGAGTAGAAAATTGGATTTTCTGACGTTTCGTGGCTTAGTGTAAGTCACTTCTTCAGAGAATAAATAACCAAAATTAAATTAATCCAAGTTTAAATAGTACAACGGAACAATGCAAGAATAATATTATGTGATCAATCAAAAAACAGGTCTGAACAAGTTGATGTCTTGCCATTTCTGTCAAGGCGATTCATAAGTGATAAGTATGTAAATTTGTGTGTGTATGTATATGTGCAATGTTTAAGAATGAAAACTTGTGTGACCTTTATGGTAAGAAAGGATAAAGTTTAAATTTGTAATATGAAAGTGTGAAATTGTAAATACGATCAGACTGAATGGTTAGGATAGATGGTCCAAGTAGGATGTATGGTAAGGCCTTCTTTTCTATTGAGAGAAGTAGGATTAAGCATTATATGGAACGCCTCAGCTACCCTCCTTTCTTTGTAGTTGGAAAAGCCTTTTTGCAATATTTTGATATTTTTAAAATCGATTTGATGGTTGTTGAAAATGGCATGAACTGCTATTGCCGATTTAATTTGAAGTTGGTTCAATTCTACCGGATTGTTAGGAGGTTTCTTTGTGTACCTAATATGTTCTTTGGCTCTAGTCACGATTTCGCGGGATGACTCTCCAAAATAATGGGCATCACAATCGATACAACCTCATTTGTAGACGCAGTTCTGTGTGGACATGAAAGGAATTTTTTCTTTCAGGCGAACTAATGTATTACGTAGTGTGTTCGTTGTTTTGTAATACACTTTAATTCTGTGATGTTTTAAGATTCTTTGGATTTCTTCTGTTGTGCCATGACGGTATGGTAGAACTGCAGTACCAATCCAAGGCATTTCATTCGAATCATTATTATAATGTAATAAATTGTTTTGTTTTAATATGCTTCTAATAATCTTCATAGGAAAATTATTAAATTGTAAGATGCTAATTACATTCATTTGTTCTTTTTGTTTGTCTTCCTCTGATATGATGATCTTGTTAGCTCTTCTAAAAAGATTTAAGGCTAGCGAGATCTTAGCACTGAAAGGATGTGCTGAATGGAAGTCAATATAACGATTTGAATGCGTCGGCTTTCGGTAAATGGATAGGTTTAGACTTCCATTTGGATTTCTTTTAACTAAGCAATCCAAGAATGGTAGCTCACCATGTGCATTTTCATTTTCATTGGTGAATTTGATGTGCGATGAAAGTGTATTAATTCGTTTTGAAAAAGATCTTAGATGAGTCTTTTTTATAACAACAAATGTATCGTCTACATATCTAAGCCAAATTCGTGGTATAATGTTGTGGGCGAAAATATTTGATTCTATGTATGCCATAAAAAGGTTGGCTACAATCGGGGACACGGGGGATCCCATCGCTACACCGTTAGTTTGTTTGAATAAAATACCGTTAAAAGTAAATAGCGTTGAATTTAAGCAAAGTTTTAATGATTTCATGATTAGACTGATGCTCAATGGACATCTGTCAGGAAGAGTATTGTCGTTCTCAAGTAAACCACTAATGAATTCTAAGCATTTATCAATGGGAACACTTGTGTATAAAGAAACGACATCAAAGCTTACCATGATTTCATTCTTCTCGATGATTAATCCGGATAATTTTGATTTGAAGTCATATGTGTCTTTAATTATATTATGTAAGTTGAGTTGTAATGGTTTTAATATATTGCTTAAATATTTCGATAGTGCATATGTTGGGGTGTTTGTGAAGTCTACTATTGGTCTTAAAGGAATATCTGGTTTATGAATTTTTGGTAAGCCATAAAACCGTGAGACATTACATGATTTGGGATGCAAAGCAAATCAAAGCGAGACCCCAATGATTGGTTTTAGCTCGTTCAGAAGTTGATTTGTTTCTAATTTGACTTTATTCTTAATCGTTAGAGAAGTTTTTGGATTGATCTTTTCATAAGGTCCCGTTGAGAGATGTTCAAGAGCTTTATTAATATAATCTGTTTTATTCATGATTACTGTTGTGTTGCCTTTGTCGGCTTTTGTGATGATAATCGTTTTGTCTTTTTTAAGTGAATTCAGAGCCTTCAATTCTTCTTTTGAAATGTTTGGGGTAATGTGTTTTTGTTTCGTCAGAATATGGGATGTCTTTTGATGTAGCAAATGCGACTCTTTTTCCGGTAGTTGTGCGATCATTGGTTCTATAATCGGAGCGATTTCAAGAGTGCTAAGTGGTTTTCTGTGTAAATTGAAGTTTAATCCCTTCTCTAGTAGAGTGATTTCGTGACTGTTTAAGTTTCTGTTGGAGAGATTATGAACTGTTCTTAGATCATTCAAATTGTATTTTATTGTTGATGTTTTCTTATCTTTCTTCTTTTCTTTGATGTTTTCGAATTTTTTAATTTGTCGGTGTTTCGAGGAATTTAAATAGTGGAGTTCTCTTTCTATAAACAGGTTGGATATCGTGATTTGTAATTCGATCGGGATTAAAAGCTTCAGTAAATCATCAAGGTTTTTGATTCGTTCACGATATTTTTCGAGTAAATGTGTGCATTTGTGAATGCGTTCTCGTAAGAATATTCGAGACACTTGTTGCGAAGTCTGGATAGATCTCCACGACCGTTCTGGAGGTTTTATAACAAGAGATTTAGGGATGATGTTGTCTTGTAAAGAAGAACTTCTCTAACGATTAAGAATAAAGTCAAATTAGAAACAAATCAACTTCTGAACGAGCTAAAACCAATCATTGGGGTCTCGCTTTGATTTGCTTTGCATCCCAAATCATGTAATGTCTCACGGTTTTATGGCTTACCAAAAATTCATAAACCAGATATTCCTTTAAGACCAATAGTAGACTTCACAAACACCCCAACATATGCACTATCGAAATATTTAAGCAATATATTAAAACCATTACAACTCAACTTACATAATATAATTAAAGACACATATGACTTCAAATCAAAATTATCCGGATTAATCATCGAGAAGAATGAAATCATGGTAAGCTTTGATGTCGTTTCTTTATACACAAGTGTTCCCATTGATAAATGCTTAGAATTCATTAGTGGTTTACTTGAGAACGACAATACTCTTCCTGACAGATGTCCATTGAGCATCAGTCTAATCATGAAATCATTAAAACTTTGCTTAAATTCAACGCTATTTACTTTTAACGGTATTTTATTCAAACAAACTAACGGTGTAGCGATGGGATCCCCCGTGTCCCCGATTGTAGCCAACCTTTTTATGGCATACATAGAATCAAATATTTTCGCCCACAACATTATACCACGAATTTGGCTTAGATATGTAGACGATACATTTGTTGTTATAAAAAAGACTCATCTAAGATCTTTTTCAAAACGAATTAATACACTTTCATCGCACATCAAATTCACCAATGAAAATGAAAATGCACATGGTGAGCTACCATTCTTGGATTGCTTAGTTAAAAGAAATCCAAATGGAAGTCTAAACCTATCCATTTACCGAAAGCCGACGCATTCAAATCGTTATATTGACTTCCATTCAGCACATCCTTTCAGTGCTAAGATCTCGCTAGCCTTAAATCTTTTTAGAAGAGCTAACAAGATCATCATATCAGAGGAAGACAAACAAAAAGAACAAATGAATGTAATTAGCATCTTACAATTTAATAATTTTCCTATGAAGATTATTAGAAGCATATTAAAACAAAACAATTTATTACATTATAATAATGATTCGAATGAAATGCCTTGGATTGGTACTGCAGTTCTACCATACCGTCATGGCACAACAGAAGAAATCCAAAGAATCTTAAAACATCACAGAATTAAAGTGTATTACAAAACAACGAACACACTACGTAATACTTTAGTTCGCCTGAAAGAAAAAATCCCTTTCATGTCCACACAGAACTGCGTCTACAAATTAGGTTGTATCGATTGTGATGCCTATTATATTGGAGAGTCATCCCGCGAAATCGTGACTAGAGCCAAAGAACATATTAGGTACACAAAGAAACCTCCTAACAATCCGGTAGAATTGAACCAACTTCAAATTAAATCGGCAATAGCAGTTCATGCCATTTTCAACAACCATCAAATCGATTTTAAAAATATCAAAATATTGCAAAAAGGCTTTTCCAACTACAAAGAAAGGAGGGTAGCTGAGGCGTTCCATATAATGCTTAATCCTACTTCTCTCAATAGAAAAGAAGGCCTTACCATACATCCTACTTGGACCATCTATCCTAACCATTCAGTCTGATCGTATTTACAATTTCACACTTTCATATTACAAATTTAAACTTTATCCTTTCTTACCATAAAGGTCACACAAGTTTTCATTCTTAAACAATGCACATATACATACACACACAAATTTACATACTTATCACTTATGAATCGCCTTGACAGAAATGGCAAGACATCAACTTGTTCAGACCTGTTTTTTGATTGATCACATAATATTATTCTTGCATTGTTCCGTTGTACTATTTAAACTTGGATTAATTTAATTTTGGTTATTTATTCTCTGAAGAAGTGACTTACACTAAGCCACGAAACGTCAGAAAATCCAATTTTCTACTCATTGGGATATTACAAATATATTATTTTTATTTATTACAATGTTTTTGTTACAATAATTAAAGATGATAAAAGTGCATAATAAAATGAAATAATATCAGAAACATTTATGGATAAAATCATAAAGATATGAGACAGAATTAAAAAGAGAGAGAGGAATATATTTTCAAATACGAAATATAGCAATAATAATAAGTTTAAGGCCAAGGTAACGATAAGGATATGACGTACTTCTTTGGTACATACAGTTTTGGCTGCAACTCATGGATAGCAATAGTTTCTGTTGTTTTAAGGAGTTGGGTACGAAGAAATCTAGGTACTTTTGCACGGATTGTGTAAACAACCTTGCAATCAACCTGTGGATCAATGGAGTAATTGGAGTCTATTAAATTTTCAAGAATAGAACTCTTAACTGCTTTTATCTCACCGTTGTAGAACCATACTGGGATATTCCCTCATATCCAAGTTGAAAGCAAGCGCTTGCTATGGCCTATGAACCTTGCTCCACAAGAGTAAGTGGACTGGTAAATGCAAATAGAGGCGACCAGATGATAAAGCTGATTCCTTTACGGATCCAAAATACAAGTTCCTACTAGAGAACATTAGTATTATAACAATAGTATAAGATTTAAAAAATGAATAATGGTTCAAAAAATCTCACCAATATTATTTTAAAAGAACCGTTTGGTGAAAATCAATCATTTTGAACATATATAGCTTATTAGTATCCAAAAACATTTATTTCGAAGAACTTCAATGACAGAATTTCAACGTTGATTTTGGTTAATCCCCTAAAGGAAACTAAAACCGGTTTAAAATCAGAGATGGGGTATTGTGGATATTATAGTAGTTTAACGGTTGAGTTCATGAGTCAATTGAAGCTAGACCACCATGGAAAACCTAGAAGCACTGGACGGCCCTTTCGTCCTAGTATGGGACTCCTCAGCACCAGTAACTATCTCCAAGCGGCATGTCCTGGAGTTTTCGTGAGAAGCCATGACCAGTGGAGTTCAGTCAGGTCTGCTGTGAAATAGTAACTCATTGAAGACAATGGTGGACGGTGGCGCAACTTCCTAGATTATTTGAAGTTAGACATTAACACCGTTGGATGCCTGTCGGCTCAGTAGTCTAGAGATTAAGCGTACGTGTACGAGACCGATAGGTCTTTGTTTTGAATCCCGGGAGCGGGACAGTGGATGCGCACTGCTAAGGAGTTCAGTGCTTCTAGGTTTCCCATGGTGGTCTAGCTTTAATTGACTCATAAATTTAACTATGAAAACCAGTTTGCCAAGTAAAACGTTGAAATCATTTAAATTTTATTCGATAAGATCATTTCAAATATATTTTTACTTTTGATCTAATTTCTATTAAGCTATTTACTTAAATTTTGACAAATGTTTATGTGAAATATATAGCTTATCATGTTTCTTCATCGTTATATATGATAATTCTAAGCAAATACAAGAATTCATAACATTCAATTCACTTATTATCATAATTATATTCTCTTAATGTTATTGACAGTTTATCTTCATTTTTGTGTGTACAGTAAACATTTAGTTATTTCACAGGTTGAAATCATGAGTCAATTGAAGCTAAACCACCATGGAAAATCTTGAAGCACTGAACGGCCGTTTCATGCTAGTATGGGACTCCTCAGCAGTGCGCATCCACGATCCCGCACCCCGCGGGATTCGAACCCAGGACCTACAGGTTTCGCACGCGAGCACTTTACCACTAGACCAGTGAGCCGGCATCCAACGGTGTTAATGTATGTACAGTTCTCTCATTTCGATATATTTACTGTGATTGCTGAATTTGATATAGTTAATGAATATTAATTAATTTATCATAATTTTGATAATTATTCTTATATAAAACACTGTTTCTTCGATCGTACTTCACAAATGTAAACTCACTGTGTAACAATCAACTGAAAGAAGACTTCTGAAATCTTAATTAAGCATCTCAACTACTTATAGTTAATAAGATGCCTTGTAACACACATATAACACTGGAATTTAAGTCATGCTATAAGAAAATTAAACGGTGGAAATTCCATTTAGTGAACAGTTTGAAGATTTCAAGCCAAGGGAAGTTATAGAAATGTAAGACAGATTTTTCGCAAAATAGGGAAACGTATATATTCAATGAGCTGGAAAGGATCGCCCAGGAGGGTTGGATGGAGAATGTTGGTGAGCGGCCTATGCTCCTCCATGAGGAGTAACAGGCGTAAGTAAGTATATATTCAATGGTTCCTAATGTTTAATATATTGATATCCAACTATTACGAGAATCATTTCATCATTCATTATAACTCCAATTGATTACTTTGAACTGACAGATAACGAATATTATTTATCAACCGAGAATAGAATAGTTTGAATGTTGTGTTGTCCTAATTTTGAAACTCTTCAGTAGAGCACTTTCAAGACCTTAAACATCGTCGAATATAAAACTTTCCGACATCTTGGAGAGCACAATGCATTAAAACCACTAAGTTCACAATCCGAAATGGTAAATATTTCTAAATCCCGTTGACTTGTAATACAGATCCGCCGTTATCCAAATAACATAGGTGATATTTGGCTTACTGTTATATTTCATTTAATTACACTTTCTCACTTGAAATCCTGGAATCCTTGTTTGTAATGGGAACTGACTCCAATAAAAACAGTATTCACAAGCATTTTACTTTGAAGAAATAATAATTTATAGACCATTTATATTGCACACTAATCTCAATCGCAATACCACCGAAAGCCAGGAAGCTATAGGCGGCTATTTTGGCTTAGTATGGGATCTAAACCGTTGGATTCGACTCCTAATGAGGTCATAGGTGCATACTGCTAGCAGAAAAACAGTTACCCAGTGCTCCATGGTTCCAATAATACATCAACTCAGATCAATCTATAACAAATACAACCTAAAAATTAAATCAACCCCCACAAAATCCCTCCAATGATAAAAAATAACTAATCAATACAGACAAACAAAAATTGCTCATTTTACTTGACGGAAAAAACCTGAAGTGCTTTTGTAATCAATTTATTATACACAACTTGTTTAACCCACTATACACTACAAACATGTTAGGAATTATAAAAAATTAGGAACAAAATAAGAGACCAAAAACGAGAATGAAGGAAAGAACACTCCAATAGGATGGGAGACGATAAAGAAACCAGTTTTTACTCAATAGTTACTGAGGTAACAAAATAATCAAGAGCAAGTCATTTGAAGGACAGGTAGAAAGACGGTAGGACAGAGCATATATATATATATATATATATATATATATATATATATATATATATATATATATGTTTGAATTGTTCAAGTGTAGGAAAAGGGAAAAACCGATTGGTATCACAAATGAATCACATTTTCTGATGTTACCTGTTAAATACAACAGATCTCAGTCCAATTGTCGATGAGAAATAATAAGTCGTGATACATCACGAGCGCAAAAATATGTACGACATGTTGGACAAGGTACACGTCCAGAAAGCCATTGAGTTGGTGGACACCGCATATTTGTTTGTCTTGAAGCAAACCAACGTGCTAAACATTCTAAACACCATAATGGTCTACAATAACATATACCGCATTGATTACTATCTAATGATTGATTACTATTAATTGCTGCTGATGATGAAGAAGGGGTGAGTGAACTTTCGCATTGACGATTTAAAGTGACATTAACTTGTTGTACCATACACCCAATGCACTGTTCCAACTCCTTTAAAGGTATAAAAAATATAACAATAAAGTGTGCAATAAGTTAATTAATAAAAACCGAAAGAATAACATTGAGTGAAACACTATCAAAAATATGAAGCGACAAATTAATAACCTAGTGAGCAGATATAAATTGTCTATGTACTAGAATTTGTACTATGCTTATTATGTGAAGATAGATAGGATTTGACTTTTCGAATCCGAATACATGCAGTATGGTTGAAATCTAATATTTGGTTAGTTGATACTTGAATCAGTCACTCAGTCAATATTATGCAACGTAGAACTTTGCCCATGTGTCTATCCGTTCAAGTTGCCACATCATGATCAGAATGGAGAGATGAATTGTAACAGTAACCTTTACAGCCAGTTAAAATAGTGGAAATATTAGTGGTAGTGGGAAACATTAGGAAAAGAAAATCTGTTTCGAGAAGAAAGAATGAATTTGCTTGATAAACAGTATGAGGTTATGTTAAAATTCAAGATCTAAAGGGAGAAAAACAGTAAGTTGATCTGCGCCATTTCAACCGATTGTAAGCCATGTCATTCGATATCTCCGAGTATTAGTTACCTTAATTGAGTGGTAGTAGTAGTATGCACTGACTAATACGGCTTAGTTCAATAGCCAACGGTCTCACAAACTGATATTATGTTTTGACTTGGACGAGTTGAAATTCGAACCACATATGACAGGAAAATATTATGAAGATATATATATACTCTCGAAAATATTGAATATTTTTGTTAAAGTGAGTTTATAAAAATAATCAGACAAGATGAAGAATGACAGGGCATACGACATTTTAGGGAATAAAATGTTTAAGGATTAGAAAATGCCAAAATATTTAAGAACGAAGCTATTTTCAAAACACCGGTAATTCTGACAGTTTACGTTTTGCTGTTGAAATATGTTCATACAAACGTTTTCTAGATTAAAACAGCAGAAATTTTGTAAAGAAAAGAGGACTCGATATCAAAACACAACCGAAGGTAGCATATGAATTTCGATTGATATATTCAATCTATTAAATACTGATAAAACTTTTGGAATAAAAATTGTTTACAGACATGAATTTAGTCATTCTATAAGAGACTTACATCAACTGAAGAGCTATCGATGAATACAAAGCGATAAACAGCAGTTTTGTTAAATTTTTAGACTCCTTAGTCGTGTGCACTCGCAACCGTACTTATGACTGGCTCTACGAACTTGAGGTCTTGCGACGATGAGAATACCTTTTTAATAATGGATGAGGTGAGGACTCTTGAATAGTTTTAAGTTGAAACCTGACAGCTATTCAACAGTCCCTGATTTCGGTCACTTTGTAACGAAAAGTAACTTCAAATAGAGAAATCTGCATACAGCATCTTAATAATCGAAATATACATATTACATTTAAATCATACCGTAAAATAGTGTACATGAGGAATGATATACAAGTTTCTGAGCCAAACAATAAACTAGCCCTATTGTGTGAAGGTTATTCCCATCATTAGGCTTCATAAACTTCGGCAAACGTAGGACATGATTTAAATTCATTCCTTACTGCTTAACAGTAAAGTAACATAACCGACTGTCAAAAGTGCTTTGAAAGAATACTTGGCTGACGGAACCACTGTGGTGAGTGAGTGACCGCAAATGTATTTCACTCGTGCAACTGAGCTTTAAACCTCATCCGCATAAGACACTGTTGTGATATTTAGTGTACAAGAATTCGTGCTGGTACTCAAGTTCCCAGTACTCGATGCAGAAGGAAACTTTTGTTCCCATACCCGTATATATATCCCCTACAAAATTAAGCCATCAATGGTGTATGTCTCATTCCTAGGCAATGTAAGACATTGCTTGACCAATCGTGCACACATTATTCGTACGATTTCTGATTGAACCCGTTGTATAGGAGAGAGAGCTACTAGCTAGACGACTGAATGGTATTATTGAGAAATCGAAACTATCAATTATGAACAAAGTATTCAACTAGGTTAGTATGATTTTATATGATAGAAATGTTTAACCAACGATCAAAATGAAAGTAACAAAAAAAACCAAGGATGTTAACATTTTATTCACCATAATGCATCATAGCACCAAGTTAAAATCCCTTCTACTTCACTGACATTTTTTATTTCAGTAAAATTAACATTGAAGTAGGGCCAAACAAATAAGACATTGATCACTGTTTAATGATTGGTCAATTGTAAATATTTCATTCCGACACAATGTTCATCACTATTTGGATAGAACACAGTGGTAACGTCTCAGAATGGTGAAACTAGGTGATTCATATTCAAATCCACTAAGGAATACGAATTATCCAAATGATGTAGATATGTCCTGCTGATGAGTGTCAACCAGCAAGTGACTGAGGTCTAATATTTGTCGACAGTCTCTAATCATCTAACATCAATATATGTTTTATTCAAAACATAGGATTATGCAATACATACATTAGTTACGTACAATTGATTTCTTTCTGAGCATACCTTTAACCGAATCAATTGATACAAAAAAACACTCAACTTTCAACAATCAAGTAATTTGATATCCAACTGTTGAACTATTGTGTCGCATTTATATTGCATAATCCAGTTACATTACTTATGAGTAACTTATTTTATTTCACAATTGTCTTGTCCGCATTTTACTGGTTAGTTAAAAACTAGAACAGTTTTTATTTGTTAATGTTCGATCATACTGAACTGGTTATTTTCTTTGCGTTATTCATGCCAGATATCGACTGATTGTTGCTGGTTTTATCAACTCAAAATGAAGATTAAAACCTAAACTATTCTTTTCTAGATGCCCTGTTTTCTGAGCTAGATCGTTTAATTGTGAAGCCTTCAATAAGTAAATCATGATGTTGTCTGAAAAGACAATGAAAACTTCACGATGGAACTATTTAGCTCAGAAAACAGAGTGCCTCCAAAATGCTTAGCCTGAATTAAAAATACTGTTCATCCTTAATGAATGAAGAATTGTACAAATATCTAATTAAGTACACTGAGTAGCTAAAATAGTCTTTTGATTGTGTAAAGAGTAAATCAATATATAAACTTGTTTTGCTAAGGCAGGTAAGATGTTAGCAAAATTAATACAATTGACTGGATAGTTGGGGGGGAATAGAGGTATGACAAGATTCAGCATAAAATTAATGTTTAAATTTGATTGAGCATTAATAATTAAGAAGTATTTTGTTCATAGTTGTACACATGAAATATAAACAACTCACATAGCCAGCTGGTAGGTTTACCGGTTGATTTTCATCAACTACTTGTGTAAATGCTTCAATAAATCTTTGAATAATTGTTGGCTCTAATTGTACACCTTGTGCTTGTATTAAAGGGAAACGTAATTTACTGCGTAACTCATCTAAATTTGATGCTGGCAATCTTGAAATAATAAATTGAAAATAATATTAGAAGAATTACGATTGATCTCATCAGTATAAAGTCTACTGAAAATACAAAGCGACATTTTTATTGTTGGTGTTAAAAGTTTTTAGCTCACGAAATTTATGACGCTTAGGATTATTAAAACACTAATCAGTTACCAAACATAGAAATCAAGTGTTCAAACGTTATAAATCACACGAAACTCAATGATGTGTAACGGTGGAAATGATCAGAAATGAACATATTGAGCCAAATTAATTAAAGAAAAGATATACAAATTATAGTTTGATTCTGTTTCGAGTCAAATATTCAAAACAGCGTGAATTTGAATGCCACTCAGGAAAAAACATTATGATGATTAACTTGAGAGTAAGAATCGAGGAATATAAAGAATTGAAGAAGAAATTCGATTATGAACAAAGTGATCTTGAGTACTGTGAAAAGTATCAGAGTGGTTATTATTGATCGGTTGCCCACATGATATAAAAATACTCCAGCAAGATATTGGCTTAGTAGGGTTACGGCGTTTAACTTTCAGCCACAAAGTCCCAAATTCGAACCCCGACTTACCTAATTCGTCTAGAGCAACCTGGTAGTATCATTAGACTTTAGACTAAGTGTGGCTCATATCTAAAAGTGCCTGGTGAATGATCTATTTACATAAACTTACTCTATCTGCTGTCAGAAAACACCATCGTTGGAGATGACGGTTGTCGAAAGGAAACTTCTTACTGCCATCTCACCTCTGTGCGTTACCAGTATAGCCTTGCCCTAGAAAGTTCAGTTTGGTGCTTTTACTCTTACTAACTTCCGCCAACTGGTCTGGTAAATACAAGATGTAAATGATTTTGTTTTAGCCAATTACCTCAACTGGGTCATTACGATGAACGAGTCAGACAACCACATCAAAGAAGCAGCTATGGTCTGGAAATAATTCAACACTATACATCTGAAAGGAAGTGACTTTGACTTTTATTCGCCAATGTGAGACTAGAATAAATTAAAACCCATGGGTTAACAACTTTCTGAGGATAACATTGAAATTATCAAGATGAATCACTTCAGGTTGATTGAATCAATGCTGATACTAGATTCAATCAATCCATTAACCTTGTGACTAGAAAACTACCAATCAAAATAAATGCAGTGACAGCTTACTTACAATGTACACTTATTACTACTTACCCAAAACTAAGCAAACACACTCCTGTATCTGTACGTATAAATCTCACTGTAACAATTGTTTGCACACCGAGACTTTCTCCGTCAGGTTGACCACCTTGAGTTAGAGAGCTTGGGTCCAGCACTGAAAATGCTGAAACAACAACAGCTAACATATTTTCCGAAGATTGTTTAAGTATTTTGAATTCAGTAAAACGTGAAGTTAAAATCCATGAATCTGTGATAACAAATCGTCGACCTGACCAATTAGTTGATAAACTTCCTTGACCTGCTACGAATTTATCAGAACGTTGATATTCAGAATTTATTGAAGATATCAAAGCTTTTATACTAAAACAAAATTGAGGTTAGAATATGAAATATTCTATAAAGCACTTCAAAAATTGATCATCATTTTATAAGTGATTTAAAAACTCGAAAAACTGAGTGAGTCAAGAATTTATCTGCTATCTAAATAATTTAACTTATTCTCCATGTACTTTGGGGGATGAAACACACTTCAAGTGGGTAGGCTAATGATACTACTAGGTTATCCGAACCGAACTAAATGGAACGAGACTCGAGGCTAGGACTTGTCAGCTGAAAATTGAGCATCTTAACCACTAAGCCACAGCTCTAACTGTCCACGAATACAATACGGATCTCACTAGATAGGCAGGTTTGTGTTACGTTAACTTTTAAATACAACTTTTGGCGGATCATCGGAATGGAGAATTTCATTGAGGTCAGGAAATAAAACAATCCATTTCCAAAGTGAAAAATGCTATCATCAACATAGGAATAATAAGCTGTTGTGGATGCGGAGGAATAGACCAATAATTATCATGTTAAGTCCAATGGTGTCCTTGGACCCAAATGGACATTTCCTATTGGTCGATGTCTGTTCACTTGTTGAACATTGTACAAAATGTTGTTTTCTATTTTTATGGTACGATGTGGTATGCTTGACTGGTATATAAACAAAGTATGTTTGAAATATAACGATTCATATCTCAGAGGTTGTGACTTGTGTTCTGGACTCAACTAACTGGGCTAGATAGGGAAGTGGGACCAATCGAGACTCTAGGCCGTCCGTACGTGTTTACGTGTCACTGTAATCGATCGATATAAGCGCTGCGTATCAAAACCTGCAGTCTCACCCGTTACAACAATTGGCAACATAAAGCCATAACATAAGCTAACTCAGGAAATTAAGACTTCGCACCAAAGTGCGATAAACATTACAAATTAATCACTATTTACAATCTATTTTAACCTAAAAGATTGGATTTATACTGGACTTCAACTGGACCGATATATATATATATATATATATATATATATATATATATATATATATATATATATGGGTGATCATTTATAACATTGGAACAAGGTTCTCAAGTCAGCTAGGCAAACTTTAAATTTTATCATCCACTTTGATTTGTTACTTTGTTGACAAAAAATTAATGAGTAGTCAGTTAGGAAAATTACATCAACACATGAAGTCACTGATTATTGGTCTAATTCGAGTCGAAAAATTCAACAATTTGGAAAATACCAGTAACAATAGGAAGGATTTTTTTTGTATTTCAATCAGACTGAACCAGCTTCATTCGTATGGTAAGTGATATTTTGACGGGAATATAGAAAGAAAGCTTTTTTGTAGTTAATAAATGTGATATTATTTGTTTATCACAATCATAAGCGTTGAGTCATAAGACAACAATCATTTGAAAATTAGATCACAGTATATCAGCTGCATATGAGATTAATGATGATCAGTTTTACCATTAAGATTTGATTTATTGTTTATTAATGAATTTCTTAGAATTTTCTACACAATATGCTAAACAACAATGCCGAATAACGTTCATACAACGAAAAGAGGAGGTGATAGTTTTTATTTTCAAAGTATTTGATTAGTAAAATAGTTCTGAGTTAGTGTTAGGTACGAGACATAATTATTTCTCTGAATGAGATTGCTTTCTTTGAAAATTTATTTGTGGGTGCCCAGTATAAAGCATAATCTAACTCTATTTCATACTATTTTTGATCATTTGTCCCTTTATTCAAAGTTATCTGATGAAATAAAGATCAGTGGTCTCTACAGTCATTAAATTTTAGAGTTAAACTGGGCTCATATACCGAAGAAAACTTAAGTATAAGTAAGTATAAGACAAAATAATAAACTAGTGAGAATAGTGTGATTCAGAACAAGTTAAGGAGTGACTGTCACAAATAAGAATAGACTTACTAATGTGAATGATTAAACACATTGTTTTAAGTATTTAATAGATAAAAAAGCTTGATGTATCTCTGATTTCATAATAATACGATTTTCCAGTACTTTTAGATTGGAAAATATTGATACTATGAGATATATTTACGAACATTTACCTATATTTTACATTACTTTTAGAATAAAGAACAAGACAATAGTGGTTTGTTTTTAGAAGTCGGATTAATAATAAAGTTAGATGGTATATAAAAGAATAGTCAAATGGACAATACACTCATTTCTACAGCTCTGTACTGCGTCAATACACAAAGAACTCAGTGAAAATCTTGATTCATCATGCTAAGGTAATTTGATTACAAATCTTAATTTATTTGGGTATCTTTTAGCGATAACTTTTGCTTGAAGACACTTTACGTCACAAAACTACACAATCTAATCAGGGGCTTTCAAGTCAGTAGACGCTGTTTTATGAAAAAACCACTATAAGTTCGCCGCATTGTACCATTCTGCACAACTGAATCACTATTTTAAAGGCCAAAATATGGACAGTACATAAGGTTTTGAATAGCATAACAATTACCCTTAATTCACTAGGTATACAGAAAAATATCTGTTGTAAAATATACTTACGCGACACTAAATGCGCCATTTGACAAGGATGATGATGCTGTGGCTGAAGATGACAAACGTGAATCAGGTAGTGATTCCATAATAATCCGTTTCAATGATAAAATTGTTGGGTGGCCATACCATGTACCAGATCCATACCAAACTAGATAAGTATGTGACCCAATGACAGATAGACTGCCTATGCCAATCCATAAAATTACATCCCAAATTGTAAATGGAAATGAAATATTTGGAGCAGAAATCGCTACATTTTTGGACAAACACTGCATGAACACAAAATACACTACAATTTAGAAAAAATAATAAATATAAACAAGCGTAATAAAAATTGGTGAAACCATAATTAATGAAGGACGTTTGAGCAATGCTAAAGTGACCTTGAGAATGTTCACCTACTAAACAGGACTAAATGAGGGTTATAAACCAGTGTGAAGAATTAGAATTATGATTTACAGTTGATGGTTAGGATTAAGAACTAGATTTAGGGTTTTTATCACGAACTGACATCAACTATAATGCCAAAACGCTAGTTAGCCAAACGGATGAATGAATTTCGCGCCAAAATCCAAGATCTGTTATCTTATACCCGATTGGTTCGTCCATAAATTATAGTCCTGCACAAAAATCTTAGAATTATTAAGTATTAACATAGATTATTAAAGCTAAATAAATGCTATGATGGGATAAATACTATGCGTAGTTAAGCTTTTAGAATGCCCTATATAAAGTTAATGTTTGTACCTTTGTTGTATGACTATTACATATTTAAACTATGGAATTTTATATTCTCCTACTGGTAAACTTTTTCGTGATGCGTAAACTGTTATTATGTATTGTATCTTTATTAAGTTATTAATCAGTCCTATATAGACTTATGGTGTGATCGGGATTTGACTCAATATCAATCTAAGATTTCTACATTTTCCCAATCGAATGAGTGTCCGTAGTTATCCACGTGTATTGAAATAAGTGAAGAGATATCATGGAGTTTGACTGCTAATTGATGTTCATGTAGGCGTAGGTGGAGGGGGCGTCCGCTTTGTCCGATGTAGTGTTTGTCGCAGTTGGTACAATTTATTTTGTAGATAATGTTTGATTTGTTCTCCTTTGTTATTTCATCTTTTGGTTTGCATAAGATTGATTGTAGTGATTTTGTTGGTTTGTGTGCCACACCTATCCCGAAGGTTTTCAGCAGTCTCGTTGCAGTTTCTGATATTCCTTGTATGTACGGTAGGGTGATCCTTTTACTGATTTTTGTGCTTGACTTGGGTTGTGATGCTGTGTGCCGTTGGTGCTTTTTGATGAAATTGATTGGGTAGCCGTTCTTTTGGAATATGTCCTTCAGGTATTTCTCTTCATTTCTTCGTGCTGCCAGTGTGCTGCAGTGTGTTCTCGCCCTCTTGAACAATGTGTGTACGCAGTTGATTTTGTGAGCCCTTGGGTTGTTGCTGTTGTAGTTGAGAATTTGATCTGTATGGGTTGGTTTCCTATATACTTGAGTTTCCAGTTTTCCTGTATCAGTTCTAGTGATCAATATATCCAAAAATGCTAGTTGGTTGTTTGACTCCTGTTCCATTGTGAACTTGATGTCATTGAAGACGTTGTTGATCAATTTGTATGTGTTTTCCAGTTCATCCTTTTTGACGATGACGAAGGTGTCGTCTACGTAGCGAATCCACCTGAGCTACAAATCTTCTCCACCATCTCAAACTCTATATCAATGTATGAGTACCTTACAAATTTGAATTGTATAATTAGAAGTTATCTGTCTGAAGTCCTGTTCTATCCTGGATATTGAGCGATCGAGTATGAAAAACTAAGTTCTGAACCGATAGTCATTGTGTTATTCGCAGTTGTTATTTCACTATCATTGTCATTAGTACTAGATGGACAGTTTTGGCAAAATAATCGAAATATCAGAATAGATCAATACAACTGCTCTTATTTTACGGTTTGATCGCACAGGCCCCAAAAATAAATAACAATAAAAATGTTTTATTTTTACCGTCATGTAATTAAATGTAATATACGAAGTAAATTATTTGTCAAATACATATCTGTGCACTCGGCTCCAAATTGTGCTTGAATTACGTAAAAGCTAGTAAGGGTGCCCAGCCATTTAAACAGAATAAGCTGAAGACGAGTTGCGACCCATTTCTCTGCTTGAAGCCATATGTATTAACCATTAGTGTACCGAGTAATATATTTATGACTTTTTGGGATTTAAGTATAAGTAGACATGGGTTTTCTAATGACCATTGGTAAAAATTTTTACAGATATCTAGTCACATTTTCTTTCACATGTCATGTTTTTGAAGAATCTATTGAAAGAAACTACTATGGAGGACAATTGGAAAGGGATCAAAGAAGCATTAACTTTAACGTGCCAGGAGGTTCTGAGTCGCAAGAAGCATCATGATAAAGAAAGAATCTCCATCGGAACCCTAGACATGATTCAAGAACGGAAGAACAAGGAGACAGCAATTAACAACAGCCGAACAAGAACAGAGAGAGTTAAGGCACAAGCTGAATACACAGAAGTAAACAAGCAAGTGAAGAAGAGCATTAGAACTGACAAGCAGAAGTACGTGGAAGAACTAGCAATGACAGTGGAAAAGCTACAAGAAAAGGAAATATAAGATTACTATACGAAACAACGAAGGAACTAGTAGGTAAAAATTGTAAACCAGTCAAGGACAAAGGAGGCAAGCCAATCACTGAGACTTAAGAACAGAGGAACAGATGTGTAGAATACATTGAAGAACTCTTGAATAGATCAGCTCCATTGAACCCACCGCACATCGAAGCACCACTTATAGATGTCACTCTACCAACATGAAGTAATCAGGGAGTGCATCAGAAAAACCAAGTTTGGCAAAGAAGCAGGGCCTGAAAATATACCAGCCGGAGCACTAAAGTCAGATGTAGAAGTAACTGCAAAGATATTTTATGTTTAATTCAGGAAGATTTGGGAGGAGGAACAGGTGCCAACAGAATGGAAAGAATGATACCTTATCAAGACACCAAAGAAAGGAGATCTGAGTGAGAGAACTACAGAGGCATCACACTACAGTCAGTACCAGTAACGGTTTTCAACTGAGTGTTGTTGAACCAGATGAAAAACTCAGTAGACACCCACCTTCAAGATCAACAAGCTGGATTCCGTAAGGATCGGTCGTACACAGACCGATTAGAGACACTACGGATCATTGTTCAACAATCAATTGAATGGAACTCGTCACTATACATCAGCTTCCTTGATTAAAAGAAAGCATTTGACGGTGTAGATACGAGAACCTTATGGAACCATCTTCGAGACTATGGTGTACCTGAGAAAATCGTCAACATCATGCGGAATTCGTATACGGACAACAGTGCAAAGTCGTCCATGAAGGACTGTTGACAGACGCATTCCAAGCGAAGACCGCTGTCAGAGAAGGCTGTTTACTCACGTCCCTTCTTTTTCTTCTGTTGGCTGACTGGATTATGAAAACCACATCTGAGAAACATGGAATACAATGAAGATCTTGGATGCAACAGACGATTCGGGCTTCTCAGATAACCTAGCTCTTCCATCCCATAAACACAAACAGATACAGATGAAAACGTGTGTAGCAGAAACCTCTACATCAGTAGGCCTCAACATGCACAACGGAAAAAGCAAGATCCTCAAATACAATATGAAGGACACCAACCTAGTCACACTTGATGGAGAAACTCTGGAAGATGTGGAAACTTTCACGTACCTGGGCAGCACCATCGATGAACAAAGAGGATCCAATGCAGACGCAAAGGCAAGGATTGGGAAAGCAACGGCAGTATTCCTATAGTTGAAGAACATATAAAACTCAAAACAACTGAAAAATAACATACAGACTTGTTCCATATGGAAATAGTGAGTAACTGATGCATAAACAAGTTTCCATTGAGTAAATGACGTCCGGTGAGTATCTCTAGTTTGTGCTGACTATTATACAGAGGGAAACAACACAATAACCTTGACAGGGATAATTGATAACTCGACTTAGATGTTTAAACTTATTGCATACCAACCTATAATTTATTGCACGAGAGTTAGTCGTACATCCAGACTGCTCATTCTATCTTAGTTGAGAAGCCATCCTTGAAAATAAATGTAGTGAATTAAATTCAAAAGTATTTTAGTCCACGAAGCTAAATTACCATCTAACATCCTTTTCACCAAATAAAATACATCTTAAAAGTTACCATATAAAACCAAATACCTACTACATTAATGTAAGTAAAAACGAAGATAATTAAACTTACGAAAGACCAAAGACGATGAAAATAATCGTATCATTACAGTTCTTTTTAAATGATACTGTACAAAGTATAAACTTTCATTACCAAGAAATCGATTAAACAAATTCTCTAATGTTACACCAGCAGAAATAAACTCTGTAGTCGGTGCCATAATGCAAAATACAAGAAGTCCAAATAGTAACGTATACAGAACATCAAATGAATCAAATGTTGAACTAATGAATAATGTATCCATTATCGACAAGGTAGCACTGTCACTATTCACTTTATTGTATTATGTTATAATTACAACAGATAACAATGTAAGTTAACTATTGAGATAAGGTAGGCATTGGAACAAATTGAAAAGTCAACTTCAGTTAATGATACATCTAATATCACCCACAAATTTGTACGAATTTTTCCTCAGATAAAAAGTCTAGGAGGGAAAATAAATTTTATGAGTTGGTAGACAATAAATTCATTAAAAAAACATGACCTTGCCCTATAAAACTTAGAAGAATTTTCGGGGTGCAAATACGGAATCGAAGGAATAATAAATAATCATGATGATAATAAACCTTATGAAATAAACCAGTTGATAGAATTTTTTTATGAACTGTATAACACGGTTCCAGACAGGTGATGAGTTAAAATCTGAACGCCAAACATGATTCAAGTATCAAGAGCTCGTTAATGTATAGTAAATGGTTAGACACTTATTCAAACCCCGAAAAGTTGAGTCGGAAGTTATCTCAAACTAAACCTAGCTTTATGATGCAGAAATCTTAAAACAGATAGAACTCGTTTTGCACTTGCAATCTTGTCACTAATAAGATGCTTGGTGACAGTGAATCCACTGTACTAATTGACGGATGTTAGACGGGTTTTAGCGATGGAAAGATACGTGCGAAGTAGGTATTTGAACATAGAAGCCTTTCAACCATAGCTTTTGTTTAATAGAAACATCGAGTGGGATTTTCGCATTTAGTTTAAAGACTTCTAAGCAGAGATAGTATATTAATTTCTATTACAAACATGAAGACTTAATTGACCTGTTCTGTTTAGAATAGGTTCAAATCCCAGTCAGTTATATAGTGTAGAATTTGGAACTTATGTGGGTTAAAGCTGCCACGCTCTATTAGGACAGTAAGATGCTAGAGTGGTATGTTTATTTTATTTTTTATTTGAACACATATATATTGGTACAGGAGTACGCCAAATATATATGCGCCACATAATTTCAGTTCATTAATTGCGTGTGTAGTAAAAGCATTAGTGGCAATACAAAGGATTAAGTAAATATGTAATTTGAGAAAAGAACATAAATTTACGGAATGAAAAGGATGTTTTTAAGATAATTAAATAACGGTTTTAATTGACGCTGTCGCTATGACGCTGTCGGTCGACTCGTTCTAGAGTCTATGATCCCTTCTTTTTGAAGATATGCATGTAGTTATAAACCAAGTGACGGCAAATGATGTCATTGAGTAGTCATTCAAGCGGATTATCTAGAAGGGAAAACCACTATATATATATATATATATATATATATATATATATATATATATATATATATATATATATATATATATATATCGTTGGAATAGTGAAGGTATAGTAAACAGCCATATAGTGATAAGTTGGTACCACTGGACATGTTCAAACATCCAAATAACCGATCTAGCAAAAACAATATCAGTCAGTCAGTCAGCTACAAGTTGTTACTTCCAACAAAAACGATATATAAAAGTTTAGGACGGTTCTTGTATACTCATTTGACGTTCATATCAAAGATACCCACTGATATTTAGACAATGTGAACTTGATTCACATGTAATAGAAACAATTCTAGTATATAACAGTCTCACGTAGACTGCCAACACAACAATAGACCAGATTTGACTCTATGTTGTCAAACAGAGAATACTGAACAAGTTCAAATGAAGCATATACAAAGCGGTTGAATCTCTAGAATACTTGTCAATTAATTACGACCAGAATGATGATCAAAAGCTTATGTGATTGCCACTTATCTGAATATGAAGTTCTAGCCTTGTCACTGTTAAACATCTAAGCCCAGTCTTATCAAATGAAATTGCAGGGTTTTCAAGAACATTTTTTGCGGCCTCACACGCTTAGTGTCCTTAATCTATGCTGAGGTTGATTCCGTTGAATAAGTATGCAACAGAGACGGAAAACAAAATGAAACATTGCTTATGGTCAGGAAGTACAAATGTAGTCTACAAGAAATCTACATGTGACGTAATGGAGACTGGTATTACTGTATTTTCAAGTTTTATAGAAAATTACATGTAATCTTAACAGAAGTGATCCCAAGTGAAAAAACCTCAACGCATTATTCGCCTTACTTACGTAAGAAACAGTAGTGCCTGGTGCACGAAGAATCAAGTTGAACACAGTTGTATCTCCCAGAACAGATCAAGAGCCTTCATTTACCAACGAAAGTTGGGGGTCCATTGACTGGTCAGAAGGTACACAGTATTGAAATGACTCTCGGCTTACCCTTATACCTTGTCCAGTATCTAATGGACTATGAATTACAGTCACTAAATGTTTTCTGTGAGACCGACTGCTGGTTTTATGACAGTTGAAAAATTAAAAACGCTCACATTCGAGTTTGTATGTCCGGTAGCTATTCACATAGTACTCTTTTGGTGTCCTAGTAATCCACTTGTTTGAAAGAATAGCTGATACTATAAAATATCAGGTAGCTGAAAAGTGAATGTAGACAAACGATCTATCTGGATTACGACTACAAAACTTGCGAACGTACCTTGTGATTTATCCAAATTCCAGAGCGTCAGTGAGCCATTAAGGTTAATAGGTGATTGTACCATTAGTTATTGAGCATTAGTATTTCCAAGTTGTTCGCAAGAATATATAGTCATAATTCAGGTAGGTCGGATTTTCACATTTATATGAACTGCCATCGTAGTTCAGACATCGATATCATATATATTACTCCATTAGCTTGAAAACATAATGATTAGAGTGCACCTGTATCGCATTATGTATTGGGCTGTTGTAGCGGTTCATGTCTAGCCAAAAGGTGTTTTGTGTACTAATGGGAGCATGAAGTGACGTGATTAAAGAAAGATGGAAAATGATGAAGGGATAACCAACGGCCTACCAAGTGCACACAACGCACTTACATAAAATGTGGAAAGTGATATGCGATAGTTAACAAAAACACAAAACTCGGAACAAACCAGACTGGGAATCGACACTGTAAGCAAACAGTTTAAAAAGTTAACGTATAATCGTCAGTTAAAAATTTAGCCAATTTGATTGAACATTTTTACGAATAGTTGAGTGTTTACCGGATCCTTTGAATCTTGTGCATTCACGCACTCATATCGTGGTAAATGGATCATTTATGTGAATAATCGTCTCCACTGTTGTTCATTTTTCCTTCTAATCTGTCGCGATTACATAATACAATTCAATACTTCATACGTTTAAATCGCTTTTTGACGACCTGACTTCGTTACTGATCACAAACTGTTGTTCTGATACAATAGAAAATAATAGAAAAGTCCATGCGTGTCGAAATATGCTCGTGCTGAGGTAAGCAAGCAAAGTTTGTCAAGGAAGAAGACCGGTATATATTTATATGTTTATTTTGTAACAGCCGAAAAATTACATACAGAGAGGTTTTCGCAGGGTTTATTATAAGTATTTTCACATGCATAAGCATAGCAAAATGTTTGTCAAGTATTTTAGAAGCTTTGGCTTTTTGTTACCTTCAACATAAAAAGAATTGAAAATGTAAACAAGTAACCATAGAAAATAGGAAACGAGGAAAAATGGACGAGATTATGGAATGTTTTACACATAATAGTCGTTTAGATGCTCTATGAACCCAGAGGTTCTTCTAGAGCGCGTCCATTTAGGCCAGTTATCGGACACCAACGAAATCTCGTTATGATCCTTGGTGATTGGAGTGTAGGGCAGCAATGGAAAATCCAAATTCAAACTGATTTCCACGGTTTTAGTTGAATGAGGGCCGTGATTTGAGACAAATCGTTCCACGAGGGTGTGGCCACTGTTTCAGCAGTAATGTCCATGTTGGGTGCTTCTTCTGGCCATCAAGTGAAACGGCCAACACATTATCCATTTGGATCTGGTAATTATCCATCAAACCAAGATGAACATGGTTGAGGCGAGCATCGGGAGTTGTAAGACAGCATAATATAATTCATTGTGCCCAATCACATTGCGTTTCCGGTAACATGCATTGGGTAGTTGTGGTGTTTGAATTAACTAATGATACCTTTGTACTTGTTGAATGCTCGATTTCGAATTCCAAATACAATACATTCGTTTGTGCTTGTGTCTTACTTCTTAATTCAATTGCGTTAATTCTGGGATTCCTAGTTCATAATACAATTCAAATAATTCAAAACATTATAGTAGTGCTCACTCACGTTGTTATGCATACCAGTTCAGCAAAATCGTTCTGCAATGAGCTTGATGATCGCTCGAACACATGGATTGGGAAATTGATGAAGTGTTTAGCACTGTGTCGATAATGTTTCGGTGTGAATCGATGATCAATACCCATAGATTTGCCGCGAAACAGTCTTCCTAACTGTTCCCATCAGCATTTTTTAAACCGTAGGGCATAGACGGAGATTCGTAAAGTTGAAGAGGCATGATGCTGGCCATTTTTGAAATGTCCTTAACCAAAGGAATTCGGTTTCACTCCCTAGCCAAGTAGACTTTTGAAATGATTATAATTTTCAAGCTAGCTGTTTACTCGCGGAATCGAGACAATGGATAGCAGTCGGGAGTGAATTTTATGTTTGGTTGATGGACTTCGGTCTAGTACTGTAATAGTGCCACCATAAATATAAACTTAATCCCAAAGTTTACGGTCTGTAATCATGTGACTATCTGACCTATAAGATCTTACGTGGAAGTTCTATCATTGTCTGCACTAACTCGTCCAATTGTGTCGGTCAGAAATATTATGACGAACACCTCTGAGCTGGGAAGAGGGTAATATATTGTTGGTGATGCTAAATCCTCAGATGTACATGTCTAATTTTTGTAATTTTATTTTTGGGATTTGAACCCCTTGTTTTCGCGTCAAAAGCGCCCATTTTCACTTTCATATCGTATTTCCCACTTGGTAGGACCTTTAATGTCATTGGTTTGTTGTCTCTTAATATGCTATCTTGTGACGTTTCCCAAGGACATTTTTATGCTATATATATGCCTGAGTTGCGCTTGTTGTTGTCCTTGCTTTTGGCTGATTGTGGAATACGTTTGCTATCTTCTGAACTCAGACTTCTCTCTCTAGTTAGCAGGTCTGGAACGCGTCGGAATAGTTAGCTTATTTGGTTATTTTGTAACTGAGTCGTTCAGTTCGCAGACTAAGTGAACTCTCAATCTCCTCAAAGATAGCATATATTTGATACAGAAAGAGAGGTTAGAAAGATCAACCACACCTGCACGAATGAGCTATGCCATTTAAATTCACTCCTCCTACGTTCATCATCGTGGATCTGTTCTTAGTGTTACATGTGTTTAGAAACCAATTCCACTAAAAGGTTGAAGATATTCACCACTACGGCGCCATTAACTACTGTTCTTTTTAGAGACCATATGCGGAGATGTCCATGGGCTTTACGGTGCGTGGACAATTCTTGAATCTATCATGTGATGGAACCAACTTTTGGCAAGACTTAGGTACTCAACATCTAGATGGGACTTTTGGAGAATACAGGTGGTCATGCAGACGTAATGTGGTGTGCCACCTTGCTGGTTACACATAGTAATTCCAGTCATGTATTGTGCAATGCGGGATACTTATTGTGTATCGAACAGATAATTTAACGTTTCCCTCTTCTTATCTTCACTTGCCTTAGTTGAACAGTGGGTTATAGTGTTGTGGGAGGTCTTTATCAATGGTTATGACTGAAAAGTCTCATACGATACTCGCCCAGTAGACGGACTTTAGTAAATCCATGTTCAAGTGTAAAGTTTCGTGCTGTGTCGAGCCTACATGAGTTACTATGGCTTCCAGATAGACTATTTTATTTATTCATCCTGAACTACATTTTAACCTAGTCAATTATTCGCTTATAGCTTTGATATCTGTGAGGGTACTTGTGTCGATCGCCTGCCCTATTCACCGAATATCGCTATGTTATTTTTATCTAGCTATAAATATTGAGTTACGCTCTATGAAGTTGGGTTGCAGCACTTGCATTATCCGATTTGCTAGTGCGCTTCATTCCTTTGATTGTATCTCTAAGTCAAGTGTATCAAATATACGTATCCAAAGTCTAGTCTCCTACTTGGCTTATCTTATCCCCTTATTTACCAAGGCAAATAAAGTCGATAATTATGCACAAAGGTAGTCGAGATTTGTACTTCTTTAACAATATCTTTAGATGAAGTTGGAGTGAGGTTAATGAGCCACAAAAAAGGTTAACATCTCAGGTATTCAGGGTTTGAATATACTTGTTGTCTTAACACCATTACAATCAAAAATCCTAAACTCAACCAAACCGGAGGTCAAGAATGAAGGATTTAGAAGACATGTTTGAAGATAGTTGATATGTCGAGAAGTGTATGATTTAAGCTGTTTTATTTTTGTGAGTACTGCGCATCATGACGCACTCAGTAGTGATCTGATTTGGATGGGTGACCAACAGTCTTCACCTATGGTGTATCCAGTAGAACCAATGAGGCCAGAATTATCAATGAAGACTGGCGGAACCACTTGTTTTTTATGGAGTTATTTACCTCCACAAAAGTATTAAACCCATCCCGGTATACAACGTTAAATTAAACGAAATGTATACAGTTAATTTCTTAACGCATTGCGAGGCAATAAGTTTGAATATGGTGGCAAGTTTATTTGTCGATTACCTTCATCCTAACGACCGTCGTGGAAATTTAGACAGTAATTCATTATTTTATCGAGGCATATAGCTTTTTAAGTTTGATTTCAGAGATCTTGAGTTGTTAATCTGAAATATCAATTCATTTGGGGTGTGAAATAAAGATTTTACTTACAGCTACTAGAATTCTCATCACAAATTTATGACTCAATTTGCAGCTACTACACTTCCATGGTAATCGAAATATAACAAGTCCTTTTCTTTAGGAGTTCAGGCAGGTCAAATAACTTTTAAATAAGCTTCAAGTCATTAATGAACTCAAAAGTTTTTATTATCCGTCATAAAAATTTTACCATTTTAAGCGATGGGCTTTGTAAGTCATATAATAATAATAATAATTTATTCTCAAATTACAGTTTGTTACATGAGGCATGCCAGTTTACAGGCAAGATCAAATTTTTACAAATGATGCAATATCCACTGTAGTTAATTATTCAGCTGAGTTGATAATTTAAAAGATATGAATGTAGGTGGTTTTAGTCAGTACCACAGTTGGCGCGCTTCATGAAAGTCGCGTTGCGGATGTGCGACTGATGGTCAAGGATAGGTCGGTTGAAGGTGGGAGCTTCTAGAAATCGCAACCTTATGTCCCTCTGGAATATCCAAGGCTTTAAGGATGGTGCAGGATTAAGTCACCCGTTCCATATCTCAAGGGGGCTGAAAGACGGGGCAAGTAAAAGGAAGGACGAGGGGCAGAGTAGCCAATATTCATGAAGGAATGTTTTAGGTATGACTACTCAGTCTAATCTTCGTTTATTAAGGTATTTCTTAAGCAAGAGCATTTTGATAGGTTAAAGAAAATAAGTGTAAACAATGTATGAGTGGACATACAACTGACAAATGGAGGCAGTTCTGAAAGGAGCTGAGAATATGAGATTATGTGTGGTTATAAAATAAAATATAGTGCTAGAAACAGTATTGTGATATATAATTGACTATCTTCCTTTTTGTCGAAGCTGTTGGAGCCCTTCTTTTGCATTATTATTATTTTTTTTAATTTTTAGGTATCATAGGGTCTTGAGTAGGTTTCGTGTATTATTGAATTGTCTAGTTTGCTTGTAATAGGATTACTTGGTAGGAAGTGAAACCAATTCAACGTTCGTAACACGATTTAATGAGGTATTTTGCATGATAAATCAGCATTAATATCTTAAGTTCGTAACATCCCACTAAACCATAAGGAGCCGTAATTAAACAAGTTGTTCTGCCCTATAGACATGGGTGGATTGAAGTTATCTCTCCACCATCATCTTTGCTGGTCAGTAACGCCACCCCCCCTTCTTTTGTGATGTTAGGCTCTCTTATGTTTGTGGTAAGTATGAATACTGCTTTAATCAAAGCCCATAGTCGGAATACACTGTCTCTACTAGGTCCATGTTACAAGCAAATCAGATAGTTAAAAAGTTTGTTTTATGGGTTAGATTTCTACATAGTATATCACACTGCTATAAAGATAACTAATGGTTTAAAGAAGTAAGGACTAGTAGCAAATCAAAGGATGTGAGAGGGTATAAAACTGTAGAAAAAAAGGATTTTAAGGTAAGAAAAATAAAACATTAGGAAACTCAAAAGACTTTGTGGCCAGATTTTGAGCTTTGTATGATCGGCCTTAGTAGATCAGCATCCATAAGATTGAGCTATCTGTCTACTTGCAATAGAAAAAAAGGCATGACTTTTAGGAACAATAATGTACATTTAACCTGTAGAGATTTGGGAACTGAAAGCTAGGGTTAGGAGCATAAAGCCATGATTAATAAACAATGAATAGTAGGAAAGTATAAGCCATATATTCTGTGATTTTGTTATATTCATATTAGTAACAGTCGAACTTGTTATTATCTTGTTCTTACTAGATACTAGGCGGTCCATAATAAAGTGCCTCATTGGTGGGTGGGAGTTCAAGGTAATGTTGAAGCTCTTTGGAGTCTGGAAATAGGATTATTAGCTTTTTGAATTTGATAACTGTGTCACAGTTACGGATAGGCATTGGCAACCTGTTCCACAATAAACTATACCGTACTGTAAAAAACTCGCAACGAATTTGTTTTTGGTGTTTTACGGTAAGTGGTGTATATGCGTTGTTTCTAAGTCTATAGGCTGGGTCGTGGGTAATAGTCGGGCAGGATGTTAGAAAGGAGAGCACATATATCGCTTTGTAGAGATCTCGAATAAGCTGGAATAAAGCTAGTGAAATTGAAGTTTCTAACAGTATGAGATCAAATGATGTTTTCAATGACCCCACTTTTAAGTTTGCCCAGTTTATATACCGTGGATTTAAGTCACCTAATATAAAGCTTCTACCCCTATTACATTAGGACTTAAGTTTGCTTAGGAGGGCGTCATCTACTACACATTCTGGATTGAGATATACTAAGAATAACTTAAGATTTTGCCGTCTACATTTCAGCATGCAACACACCAGTTCACATGTGCCACTGGCCCAACAGTTCGTATGGTTAAGTTACTTTTCATGTACAGGACAACCATTTCTCCCCTACGGTCTAATCTATTGGCCCTACGGGGTGAAAAACCAATCAACTGAATTTCATTATCAGCCACATCTGACGTTGACCATTTTTCTGAGACAGCAAAAGTGTCCAGTGTTTCTATAAACACCATTGTCTTGACCTCTGCCATCTTATTTAGTAGGCTGCGAGCATTTGTGTAGCACACCTTCAATTCTGTAGAGAACTGTCCCTTACCACCCAGAGTGGTTTGGGGATCGTCTTGCTCCGGACTTTTACAATTTGAAATTCCCTTAGTACGAGGTATCTTTCACCATTTCGGCAGCGTCATTTATTTTTACTTCTGCAGTCCGTCTCTTAATAAGGTCAATCAGGCTGAGATCCTCAAGGACGTATATTCCAGATCCAATCAGTTTGCGTGAGTTTCTCAGTATCAGATTTCATTCTTCAGTCGAAGCAAAGGTAACCTTCAAGGAGCGGCTTTTCTGAGTACTTTCAGAATCCACCTTTATTCCTACTCTACAAAACATAAAAATGCTAACTCCTGAAACTGTTTCTGCGAGTAGCTTGCTTATTAAGGACTAAATGTGATTGAGGTCGTGATCAAATCTAGCTTTTTGTTCCTTTTCGGAATATTCTCTTAACTTATGAAAAATGGCTGGCCTATCAGCGAAATCTGTGTTAACACGTCGTGGAATCTTACTTCCTGAAATCATCTCTTCCCTGTAATCCGATTTTGATTCGGCATCTAGCACAGAGGTCACATTCTGTTTTCTTGTTTTTTGTGGGTGTGACTATGAGCCAATCATTTACCTTATTGTGTCGCTTGATCACATCCTCTACACCATTCAGAATATGCCCCCTCATAGTTTGTTTTGCGTTGATATGTGAATCCGGAACTGAAACCGCCGATTAAAGTGCCTTAATGCTGTCTATGATCAGTTTATTCTCAATGCGCTTTTCCTTTTTTCTTGTGACGATGCCTACATCAGTATGCTTGTTATCTGCTTCCCTGATGGGATCCACATTCATAACAAATTCAAATCCTGAACTGGGCTAATGATAACGCTTTCTATCTCCTCAAAAACGGAATTCTGCTCATCTACTGCTGCCTGTTTATTTGAGGGCAATTTTCTAGTTGCGTTTAGCATCTCAAGCGCCTCTAGAGTCAGCAGAGACTTTGGAGAACAACATAGTTTGCGACACCTTTTATATGCAGCCGTTGCACACATTGTGATAACACTTATTGCAGTTGTCACATTGCATCACATCATCAACATGGAAGTAGCGTGTAGGTCTGGCATGACGATGAAGCCGCAAACTTGTTTCGTGATCTCACAGCGAAAACTGATCTCTAGATAAAATGTCTTTTGAGGTTTGATAAGTGATAGACACGGAACACAAAGAAAAACGGAGGTTTGTATACAACTTCACCTAACAGCAATAAAAAAATCCAACTTCATTTGTTATAAAAAGACATTGACAACTATGGATACAAACAATACTAAAAGATATAGTCAATGCGGAAACATACATACCAGTGCCCTTAGTTTTTTTGTATATGTGCAGGAAACATGCATATGATAAACGTTTCTAGGAAAAAAGCGGTACTTTTGAGGATTATTTCAACCGGAATAAATTCAAGTGCGGTAAAAACAGCAGTCTTGATGAGTAATTTGGCGATCAATATTATGAAATACACTCAGAGGAAAGATACCGTTTTCCTTTTTGAATAACGATCGAGTAAGAAAGCTGCAACAAATCCCACACTTTGATGTACAGAACGCAACAACTTGATGCTTAACGTATCCATTAAACTGTAGAAATAAACGTTTTAATCATTCGAAATGATTAGAATGACCTTGACCTTGAACAAAAATCGCCAGGATCGTTTGATGCGATCTGGCTTGCCTTCCTCGTCGTACTCATTTTCGCGGTACGTTCCAGCTTACTTCAAGTCTCCAAAATACTAGATCTTATTCTTTAATTCTTTGTTGACCATACAATTTTTCCTTAAGTTTGTTCAAGTATGTTAGTATGTGACAGCGTTGTTAATAAGCTAAGTTAGAACAACCACTTGTTATCTTTAACAGATGTTGCTTTTTGTGTCAAAGTTCCTTTGTTCATGGTGAAAAAATCACACCCACTATTTCAAAACTCAGCTTCAAAAGTGTCTCGGGATAGTTTTTTTTAACGTGTTATCGATCAAGGTATTTTTGCTATTGTAGGTTTTTTAAAGTATGTCATTCGGTATAAGGATTGACCTTTACGCATAATTCTTGTCTTGCAAAACGGTTTAAATTCCCTTGCATTTAAGTCACACTGACATCGTAATAAGAGTTTGTATTATAATCCACTGGTCAAATAGTAACTGTGGTCTCACACTTTCTGAATATTACGAACGTGTGATGATATTAAGTCACTTCGGTAGCAAAACAAGGAGTGAGTGGTTTATAAAAGTAATAAGGTCTGGTTACTCGGCGAAGTCTGAGAAGTTTAATTTAGGACTGTTGATGATGCAGACGAACTTAACGCCCTTACAATCAGAACTTTTACTGCTCTACCTTTGAGAAAACGGACATGTCGGTTTTGATAATATTTATATCGCGGTTTATTTTCGTGATTCCTTAATCAGAACTTTTGACGCATGCAAATTGAGGTTATTTTTGGAATGGCTGAAACAGCAAAAGACTGTACCTTATTGAGTTATTATTGAGTAGTTTCCAGTGAGTACTTTTAAATACTTTGTGATGACATTAGTTACGTAAGAGTTGTTACAACTTATAGTCTTATTACAACTTGTTTTTTCTACAGTCAGGTTTCATGACAGTTCAGAAAGTTTGTCACTTAACATCTTATACTATTAAAAGATTAGTTTCTGTTTTATTTCTTTTTTAGTGTTGTACCTCTAATTGTAATCCGAATAAATTGAAAACAGTGCAGTGACAATGCAGATTGTGTGGTAGTATTCAAGATTTTGTAAATGAACTAATAGGTTTGTTTTTCGAATGTTTTCACAATATTTGTTTTGCTGTTAGTTTCATGAAATTCTAGCTTCTCTCATTTATTCGTAATATCGAGCTTGGTTCCAGTGTGCACAAGCTTGTTCTGTTATAACAAGATGGGGAGCAAATGGATCGAAGCAGTGGCAAAATCAATAATAGTAGGGAGGACTAAAAGTGGATGCTAGGATTCCGGAAAATGAAGTGCGTACACAGTCTTAAGTTTGTGAAGTAATGTTGAAAATGAAGATTCAGATAAAGATCAAAATTGGATTCGTCTCTATTGTTGTGTCTGGCTGTGAACCATCTCACCCAAGGCATTTGACTATTCACCATAACTATCTCGTGAATCCCAACCAGATAGTTTGTAAATCCCCATGTAATTCTGTCTGGCTGCCAGTGTCTTCGAAAGTGAATCATGTCATATTAGTTTGGTTATCTGTAGTCTTTCAACCTGCCTCTAAACTAGTCGCTATTGAGACCCTAGGTAAACTGTAATCTGGGTTCAGTGACATACTTTCTAGCCACATGAATTGAACACAATTTTACAGCCTTAATAACCAATTTGTATAATTTACCTAGTACCGTACCTCTAATGCCATCCTCGTTCACTATGTTAAATCAGAATACATGGACTATGCTTCAAAATACTAGTAGCTCATATGTTTTCTGTCACTTTAGAGGCTATTTTCCATAAGAATTAAGTTAAATAATGGATTGCACACAATAAGATCGTCACTTAATATATCCATATTTTGCGCACATCACAATTAGTGCAAGTTAGCAAAGTCAAACGATCGTGCTTAGACGGTCTTGGTATGTCTATCGACTGCAATTGAATCACTTTGAAAACTATTCATTTTCAGTCTTTACGAGCTAAATAAAACCGCTTATCATATCAACTCTTTTGGCATATATAATCTCACATAGAGCATAAGCAGTCATAGAATATAGGCTTTGCAGATCGTTCACTGGTCATTTAAATTATGATTCGATTATAAGATCTAATTTTTCCCACCACAACAGGCTTGTTGCCTTACTTAAATTCGGGATATCACTAGTAAATTACCAAAAAGGGATCTTAAGCGTTGAAATATTTTTGAAAAAAGACAAAGGATAAAATGAAGTTTGAACACAAAGTATAGCATTGTCGACCGCTTCACTTGTCTTAAAAGTCTCATCAGCCCATGTGGTCTGATGTGTGGCGAAATCTCAGCACGGATACAGAAGGCTCGACTAGCTTTTGCCAACCTGCGTCATTTATGGCGTAGGCGAGATACCCATCTACCAGCCAAAGGATGGGTTTACTGCATAGCAGTTCGTCCTGTTGTACTTTATGGCAGTGAAACATGGCCGGAAAGGGAAGAGGATATTCGTAGGTTACTAGTATTCGATCATAGGTATCTTCGAAACATTGCTCGTATATCTTGGGACCACCGAGTAAGTAAGTCAGTTGTTAGGAAACGGGTACTAGGTAAGAATGGCAAATCGATTGACGAAGTAGTGAAACTTGATCAGTTGAGATGGCTGGGACACGTGTTACGTGTGCCCAACTACCGACTACCACAACGTGTGGTGTTTTATGATGGAGTAGGTTGGAAGAAAGGTAGGGGCGGTCAGACCAAAACATGGCACAAGTCCATGAAGTCATTGACAAGTAGACTGAGTCATGTTGGTAGGTGTAAACTACCTGGTTGGGGTCCGCGAGGTGATAGCAACCGATGGTTAAAGACCTTGAATGATATGGCTCAAAATCGTTTGCAGTGGTGTGTGCAGGTGCATCCACTCTTTGTGTTCTCCCAAATTCTAATCTTCTGAATTCTCCATATTTTTTTTTCCTTCCAAATTTATCTCACTGGATTATCCTCCTTGAATAACATCTTCAAACCCTAATCTTTCCGATTACTGCTTATATTCTTACTACCTCTACCACTACGGGATTTGGACCGATAGCTGCATCTCTGTGGTAATGTGGTGTGGCAACTCGATATGATGTACGTACGTACAAAGTCCCACGTTGTTACTGACAGACTGATTGTATATTACTGACTTGTAGGTCAAACAAGTGCATTTAAACTTCTGTAATATATTTGATCAACATTACTGAATGGCGAACTTTTATTTCTTACACCATTTCTGTCAACCATTGTTTATTATATACTGTCCTATTTCAGTCTTTCCGTCTCTTACATTAACGTATATTTTACAGGACAAAACAACGCTGTGCAATAAATGCAAATTAGTACACTTTCTTCGGTTGGTTAGCTGAAATTAATTAAACAGATGCATTAAAATATACTGATAGTGAACTAACCGTTGTGTAAAAACGTTTTTCTGCTCCGAAAGCATCAATTCTACAAAAGACTCATTGCAAACTAAAGGTGAAAAAGAGCTCTAACGGATTTTATTGATTAACTGAAAGTATGGATGCTTAAAAGCTACGACTTCACTTTATACCATATTACAGTAGTTAACAATGGATTTTCGCGAGTTGAACAAAATCAAGAAAGAAAATAAAAAGGTTTCCGTCTGATTGACGTCATATTTTCTCTTCAGAAGCCCATGCTTGTAATTAAAGATCGAAAAACTGCTCTGTCGGCTTTGGATATTCAAAAGTTGTTAGGCTTGACGATTTTCCCCCAACATTTCGTTAAATGGCCTGAGTAAGCTTGTTATTTGTTTATGTTACCTGTGTAGTTGGTGTTCAGTCACCAAGCCCTCGTTCATCAAGAATATTGTTCTGGTATTTATTAACAGAGTAAATACTCTAAAATCGAACGAGAAATATGGACAACAGTTTGCTCTGATGTTTGGGGAGGTAAATCTGTTAACATGTCCATTTTCTTTAGCCACTGAAAGTATTAAATCCAGAAGCTTATAAGTATACATGGGACAGAGAAATTTCTACTGTCCCCAGAAGTTTCCTCACAACTCACGCAGCAGCTATGGCGGGTATGTTTTCTACGTCGTTGCATATTTTTAATCAATTATGACCAGTGACGAAATATTTTTTAAGTTTAGGTACCATGTCATACTTGCCTATCTAACTTAATTGCTGTCCCGAGACATCTGATTCATCCTACTAATTATTACCGTTCTACCATTTTAAAATGAAAAACTAATTTCACTATGCTTTATTTGCACTGTGCTCAACAAGTGATCAGTTTGGTCCGAAACGTGTAGCTCTATACATTTTAATGTCATTATCATACCCCTTAGTTGAAGTTTTGTAGTAGATGCTTTACGAGGTCAATGAACTTGTTGACATTTCAGTTGTTAATTTTCATGGTTTACCGGGTAGACAGAAAACCTTGTATGGTAGAAACAGACTGAGAATTAGTTGTCTGTCATTCTATAATCTAAAGGTAATCAAGTAGACTCCAAAACCAGTTGAAAACTAAGTTGGATCTCCCACTAGGCTGTTTAACTTGGAAAAATTTATCATATTTATACTTTATTTTTCGATGGAAGTTGTGATTTCAACGGTGATACAAAGTCGAAGCATCCGTCAACCTCGTGCTTTGATAAAAACATCGAACATATGCGTTTTTTTGTTTGCTGATTCACTATTCAGATAACTACTTGTGGACTCAATTCGAGGAAGTCGTCTATGCATACGATCTGAAAATAACAAATAGGGTTGGGGAAATTATGTGAAACAATGAAACAGCTAAGTGGAGACTTTAAACGATGGAAGCGGTACAGATATATCACCTTAAACGAGAAGTATTTTGAACGATTAATAAGTGGTGTAACCTAAATTTTGTAAAATTATATTTTTATAGACACGGTTTGTCCATTTATTCGACAAACCACTTATATGTTTATCCCTTCCTATATATGTTATGACTAATGATTCTAGTTTTTTTCATGAAACTATCCATATGACTATTTGTCTAATTTCCATATACTAACTATAATTTGACAACCTTGATATTTGTGATTTCCCTGTTCAAAATAAACTTGTAGTCTTCCATATTTTATTCTGTGTGTTTGTGTGTAGATTTAAATAAGTCAATACTAACTCCTGTTCCCCGCCGCACGTGGATAGATGATGAAAAAACTATTGATAAAATGCGTATAATCAAATCAGTTCACGAAATAACTAAAGAACAGTTACCTTCACAGACTAATAATTCTACTTCTACTACTACAACAACTACTAATGAACCAGTAGAAAAACGCACTCTTAAAAGAAAAGCTGATAAACTTTTTCCATTACCTATACCAGGTACACCAGATGCATTTGATAGAACTTTACTGATTTTAAATGTTGAGCAAATGAAAAAAGAAAACGTTCCATTACCTAATGAATTATTAATCGACCAACGTAAATACTTCAAAAACCGTTCAGATTTTGTACCGAGTAAAGTAAGTTTCTTTTTGATTGCTTACATGTTAAAATGCAGTTTCCCTTCAATCACTCATCACTTAATATATCTGTTAAAAACTTATACACTACGTTACTGAATTTTTATTAATTTTGGGTGTTAGTGACTAGCAGCAGAAATCAGAACTCACGTTTCATCTTTTTTTGGACTTCGCATCTGGATTTACTTGGGTTCTAGTATTGATATCTACACACTGAGATTTGAACCCACTAACTTTTTCTTCAAACCCCGAACACGTTATCCAATGAGCCATGGAGTCCAAATGTTCAGAATACACATTCTTCAAAAGGGACAGTTCAATAGCAGTCCGTAATATAAGCACTTCAGTGAATATTTTGCATTTCTTTCTGTCAAAATATCTAAATTTATTGTGCAAAGGGTTTGCACGCAACGATTTACCAATGATTACTGAACTGTTTGGATTTTTCGGTACATATGCATTAGATACCCGTTGGTAAGTAATCAACACCATGCTGTTTGTCCAACTTGTCTTGGTTGTCTACAAGCCTTAACTTATGGGTTGCACTGGCCAAACTTAACTTCATTTCATGAAATATGAGCAAAAAAACTTCATAATAGACATAACTTTCCATAATCTATCACATAATATTGTGTATTCTAAAGATGTGAATAAAACTATAAGGTGTTTGATATTATGGCTCATCCCTAACTAATCATTGGTTTGCACTAATTCTCTGTGTTCAAAACAACCTTCTAAAAACCAGTCATCTGCTTTTCCATTTTCTCAGCTGTAGGATTTATCTTAGTTGAGTGTCACTCACTAACCAAGTATATGTTTGAATTTTAGGTGTAATCACCAGTAATACTATGCGATCGCGCGAGCTGTATCAAGAGGAGTTGGGTTTGTACTTGTAACTCAGTACTTTGAAATTGAATACTTCAAACAACTCAACTAATCCAACTTATGGAGACAATAAGTATTCGAGTTGAACAACGTTGTATCGAAAATAAATAATTCACAGCCTCTTTTGCCTGATTTAGGATTAACTAAGGTTTGAGTCATTCTTATTGTAAGGTATGTTAAGAGATTGGAAACAGTCGGGAGGAAACCATATTAATTACTACTCGCCAATAAGATGTATCCATACTATTGAGGGGTTTGGTGTTTCCTATGGGGTCCGAACCTGTGTTACCCAGCTTCAGTCAGGAAAAATTAATGCTAAGCTATTTGAACTGCAACTGATTTGTAGGATTGAAACTCTTACATCGGTTGATTCAAGGGGCAGCGACCAATGTTACGTCATCCAGAGTATTTAGAAACTTCACTAAATACGCTTGATATGCATACTTTTGTTGGGATATTCAGAAAAATATCCTAAAAATTATTCTGTTAAGTCTAACACTATCCTTGGACTTGAGATGGTGTCATTTTCGTATTGGTCAATATTTATTTCACGTTTCGTTTTCCTACTGGTCAATATTGTGCAATGTTATTTTCTATTTTATTGTATGATGTGGTCTGCTTAACTGGTATATAAACAAAGTGTGTTTGAAATATAACGATTCATATCTCAGAGGCTGAGACATGTGTTCCGGACTCAACTTGTTGGGCTAGACAGGGAAGCGGGACCAATCAGAGCCTTAGGTCGTTCTTACTTGTTTGCGCATCTTTGGTCCGATCGATAATTCGCTGTCCTCTAATCTGCCGTTCAGATATAGAAACTTTAAACTTCTATATTTTCACGTCCTAGATTTTTAGGTTTATATATATATATATATATATATATATATATATATATATATATATATATATATATATATATATATATATATATAGTGTTTTTACCTATAATTCGGTTACCCAAGTTCAGTTTCCTTGTCATTTATGAGTCTTCCCGCTTGCCTAAGTGGTTGAGCAAGCATATAAGAATCTTTTGTTTTTTGTATCGGATGTCGTCCAATCTAACAAGTATTTCTTAAAAGAAAAATTTAATCATATTTCCATATACAAAATAAACGATGACCCATGAAATCAGTAAATTAACATTATTTTCCTTTAATTTCCTTATATTATCATTATAGCCTGTATACCTTCCTGTATCAGCCAACAGCCCAATGTATGCAGTAGACTGCGAAATGGTACTTACATCCGTAGGAAGTGAGTTGGCTCGAGTGACTATGGTTGATGAGAAGGCAACAGTTATGTTCGATCGTTTAGTGAAACCGCCAAATCCTGTTAAAGACTATTTAACTAAGTAAAGTTATTCATCTTTTGTACAAGAAGTCGATATCTAGTTTGTGTTTACCATTCATATAATCTTTTTGTTGTACGCTATACAATAACATTGATTAACCATTAAACTGATCATTTTGAAAGTTGTACTTTTTAAGAATATAAGGATATTATAGAAGTATTCACAACCTATTATAGTTTAACATTCAAATTCTTAGTAAAATTATACTTTGCTAATGAACTAATTAAATTTAATATAGGGGCTGATGGGTTTCTTAACGAAAGTCAGCTTATATTTTATTGACAGATAATTAATGAATGAGTAAAAAACTTGTGAATATTCGCTCAAAACACCATTACGTTATCAACTTAGTCACTGATTCGAGATAACGACTCACTTGTATAATCGGGTGAATTTTAATTCATTTGTATTGGTTATTTGAATTGTTTTATCGATGTTTTGAACTACAATTGACTAGTCTCTTTTGGCATATGTACGTCCTGTGCAGACTCCTTCGATATTCCCATCAGACCGCAGGCATTATGAGCAGAAATGGATGGTGGGTAGCAGTGGAGTCTTCGATGCACGTCTCATCCTACTTGGTACTTGTCAGTTGAATGTACCTGCATCCCATATCTGATAAATTACAGTCACGAACATCAATGAAATGATGCAAACAACTAGTATTTACATCACTATGGAATTCTCATAGGATAAATAGTTTATATATTGATTATTATTGGAAGAAGTAGTATTTTCCGGTAAATCCGACTGGAATTAGACAAAAAGCTCTTCAAGTGATATTTTAAAAGTCCTAAACTAAGTAAAGTTGAGTCCGATACCCTGGTAATAATGGCTGATTCTCAAAGCTACTTCACAATTCTCTTCAAATATCTCAAGATTTCGTAGTGTCACCATCGTTTGGAGCTGCGATCAACTTCCTGAGATTTTATTGTCTTCTCGAAGCTGAATTAAAACGTTTCTCAAGGGTCGGGGGAGTTTAGTTTGCACTTCTGTTTTACGTGATTTGATTTCCGACTCCTGTCGATCCATAATGGTATACTAGAGGTTAGGCTTTGGTACGCGAGACCATCGGTTTTGTGTTTGATTTTCGCATGTGAGGTCGTGAATGCCTACTACTGAGGAGTCTCACACTAAGACTAGACAGCTGTCCACTGCTTCCAGGTTTTCAATGACGGTATAGCATTGATCAATTCATGATTTCAACGAAATAGCTCTTCTGTTACCCAGATTGTTACCTAATCTTTGATCTTTTTGCATTTTACACTGTTTTTTGATTTCAGATTCAGTGGAATTACTAGAGAAATGCTTGCATTAATAGATACCACACTGGCAGATATACAGCGCGAATTAGCTGAAACGTTACCAGGAGATGCTATCTTAGTTGGTCATTCAATTGGAAATGATTTAGAAGCCATGAAGGCAGGTGAAATCCTCTTTTTTTAAAAATTTAGTGAATTACTGGTTTCTATAAAGAAATAAATTCTAGATTTTTGAACTAATTACTGTCATCCATTGTACATCTGAGTGAGATCAAACATGTAAACCATTAAATCTAGTTTCACTAGTTTAAACGTTAGTTGCTCTGTGTAGGATAGGGAGATTCTGGGTTCAATTCCCGGTGAGATTATCAATGCATCGTGTTGACGAGTTCACCGATTCCTCATTTTTAGTAGCTGTCTTGTAGTGGCTGGTACTATGTTAAGCTAACACGGGTTATTCTAGCTTCTGAATAGACCAATTTATTTATTCTTTTTGAGTTACATTTAGACCATGTCACTTATTGGCTTATTAACCTTGATTGATTTTATGTGAGTGTGTGTTAATTACTTACCATAATCATTGCGTGTCTGCAGCTTATTTTTGTCTGACTATAAATATCGAGTCACGCTTGATCAAATAGAGTTATCTCATTCGCCTTCTCCGCTCCGTTTCTTATTCTGAGTGTTCGGATAAACGAATGCTTGAAATAAATTTCTCCAACACAACTCGTATTTGACTTCTTATTACCGCTGTCACACAAACGGGGTTAACCTAGGTAATATACGGAGTTAAATGGAAGATTTATGTTCATAGCATATTCATGCGTTCGTCCAAATCGAAGTCAGATCAGCGGGCTAAAGAAGTCTAACTACGACCAGCCTCTGGTACAAACTATTAACATAAAATTAAGCTTAACAATTTTTGCTAATGTTCAGAATTAATTTGTAAATATTCATTGGGTTTATTGTTTTAGTACTTCAAATGTTCTATCTAGTTCATTATTGAAATAAATACGCTAACATTTTACATTCCTATTCGTTATAATCAACTTCCAGTTAACAAAATCTTATCGATCAAGGTTCTAGGCAGTTTGGTAATGTTTGTTTTCTTTTTCACACAAAATCTCAATTTATCATGTACGTTGGGCCATATGTCTTAGAATCAGTTACAAAGTAGATGTAGATTCATTCATTTTTGTCATTCCTTAGATCTCGAGTTATAAAATTATCTGATACTTTTCATCACGAGAAGTTACCATTTTTCTTCTCGAATCATCTTGTCCGTGGCTGTTTTCTACTACTACAGTTGAATGGAAAAGAACCTGTAAATTTCTTTTCGCTAAAAATTACTGTTTTTACTTAATTGTTTGAATAATTTCAGGTTTTTCATCCGTATTTAATTGATACAAGTGTCATCTATAATCTGAAAGGCAATAGAGCGGCTAAAACACGTCTTCGATTTCTATCAGAACATTTTCTTGGGTTAGTTATTGGTTTTTTTATTGTTCTGTCACACTAAATAATAACTCATGTATGTGTTCGTTTTTGATAGAATTCTTTCGTTGATTATCGGGATTTCTGTTTGAGAAAACAGCAGTAATTGTAGCAGAATAAGTACAGAATCAGTTATTTTGTGTGTCAATTCTCTTTGATCCACAATAGACGAGTGTAAATAATTAACTATCAGGTTTATGGAAAATTATTGGCATAAAGCTTGTATGAGGGCTGTTGAGTTCCCATAGCTGACACCACGAACTAACTTTTGATAACCATAAAGGTGGTTCCCGAAGTTCTAATGAGAATTCATGACCAGTGAAGTCCAACCATGTCGCGTGTAACGTAGTTCTGGAAGAGAAATTGGACTATACCGCGAACTAGCTGGAGCTAGTCATGTAAACCATTGGATACTGATTCAGTGGTCTAAAGGTCAAGTGCTCTCTGCGAGATTTGAAGATCCTTGGTTCGATTCCCGTTAGAGTCGTGAATATGTGTATTGTTGAAGAGTTTCATATTTGGACAAAAAAGCACTCTGGCTTTTGGTGTTTGTCTAGCTAATGCCAGTCAGTGGTGTAAATTACAGAAAAATCGTAATCAAGAGCAGAGATGAAATATTTATGTAGAATAGTGAAATCGTAATAGCTGTGGAAAATACTTCAACAATTTTCCATGCAGTTGATTATTTTATAGGTTGATAGTCTAGAAGGAAACAGAGTCTCAGGAAAAATATATTTTTCTAGACATGGATAGTTGAGGCTATAAGTTAGATACTTATTTCCAACAACAGAGATTTAAACTCTCAATTCATTGATTTTATTGAATAAATCCATTCAAAGAGTAATACATGCTCACATACAACTGGTTGAAAGGGCGAAATCCAACTAATAACCACTGACTGACTGAAATATTGTAAGTACCTTCTAATACAACTCAGCGTATTACTTAGTAGGAGTGAGGAAAACAAAGAATGCTTAAGGTCGTCAAACCAAGAACTAGAATCGATCTATGGAGTAAGTAGTTGCTTATTAAGACTGAGTTATGTCTGGAGTTGCAGATTTCCTGAGACGGAATTTAATTATTAATTGTTTTTTTTTTACTGGTAATCTTTGTTCATATAGTTAGATACTGGTATTATAGTGATCGAAGACTTGGTGGGGAGAACCAATTTATTATTTTTATGCCTTAGTAAAATATCAAAATCATACATTAAGTACATCATTGGCATATATTCATTGCGTTTTCTTTTACATACTTTTTCGTTCTTCCGATCCTTTTGTTATTCCTATTATTTCTCGTTTTCTCTCCCCTTTTCTTTATTCCAATCTTCTGCTGGCAGGCATTCCACTTTCAATTCCTGTTATATACTACTTTTATCTATCGTTGTCAGTAGCACGCGTCACAGCATCAATATTAATATTATTTCGACCCAGTTCATTTTATTAATATATTCCCCGCTGTACAATAAAGAAATTAGCTTCATAGATTGATGTATATCACAAATATATTGAATTCATATTTCTAGAAAGTTTTGTTGTGTTCTAGAGAAATTAGTCATCGAGACAGAAATAAACTTCAAGACCAAAATCATTTGGTAAAAAAAACTGGTGTTACTTCAACATTTCCAATTGCATACACTTTTTCGTTTTAGACGTATGATTCAAACTGGTAAAGGAGGTCATTCTTCCGCTGAAGATGCCATTGCTACAATGGATCTGGTGCGATTAAAATTAAGCCAAGGTAATTAATTATCGTTTGTTGTTGTGGCCAGATTATAATTTATGGACAAACCAATCAGATTTAAGATAACAGATCTTGGATTTTGGCGCGTTTGGCTAAATAGAGTTTTGGAATCTTAGCTGATGTCAGTTCGCGATGAAAACCTTAAATCTAGTTCCTAACCCTAACCATCAACTGTAAATCATAATCTTGATTCTTCACACTGGTTTATAATCCTCATTTAGGTGGATATTTTCATGGTCACTTCAGCGTCGCGCAAAGGTCGTCCATAAATTATAGTGTTGCTGTTGCCTATTTTGTGCTTTCGTTTTAAAAACAAAATTAAATGTTTTAAATAACAGTATACTGTATGCATCAATCAATCATATTTTAAGACGGCGGCTATTGGATTGCTGTTTTGCATGGGGTTTAAGACAGTGACGGATACCTAGGTTATTGTGAGCTGAATAAGATATTTAAAATTAATGAAATGAAATATAGAAACCATAACTGATGGATTAATCTTTCTCTTTTAATGGTAACTTCAAGGTTTTTGATATTTAAAATCAGAGGACTAGTCGCCTAACAACTCATTCATGTTTCCCAAGAAAAAAGTTTTTTTATAACATTATTCGTCATAACCATTGCTTCTAATTCTTATTCTATGTCCTGATTCTTTCTAACTTTGAATCTTGAAACACCAACTCTGATCAGTCTGATCTTTTAACCATAATCTTAACTATATTCTTTTATTGGCTTTTCATGTAACAAATTATTCATATTTATCACCTACATTTTGATGAACCAGTAATTCTCTACTTTCTCTAATTCATCTCCTATTTATTTATTTGAACACGCACATATTGGTACGAATTGGCACCGAATACATATGCGCCACGCAAGTCACTTGATTTGTGTGAGGGCTGTGGTACTTACCGGGTGCCCAGGCCGAAGCAGATGGTTTTCTTAGGGGACCACACCCTGGACCTTCAACCTAAAGGTCTGATCCACAAAACAGTGGAGCGACGTTAGGAGATGCAGTCCCATGGTAGCCGGTGACCAATAAATGGTTCATACGCCATTTGTTCCTTCAGAATCCTGGAGCCGATGTGTACTATTGGTTTGGAATCAGGGTTTTCCAACTACCCTAGGTGGATCCTCCATATCCACCACCTTTTTAAAACGCCGGACATTCGTTTTTCATCCTCTTGGTTTCGTAAACAACACCCCTGACGCGAGAAGTCAATGAGTAGGACTTTCCTGGTAGTGGCTGTATACGCATGGGCATATGAAAGCATTTCAAGAGGGAGAGCGGACTCTCCCCACCCTCAGCCGTACAAAGGCATTTGTCGCCCAACTGGGGAGATTGGTCCCCCGACCCTCATATGAAAAGTCTGATGCTCTATCGGCTGAGCTAACCGGGATCATTTTCAGTTAATAAACGTTGTCAGTGTGTGATTTCTCCTGATTAAATAAACAAATAGTGTGTAATTCAGAACCGATATACAACTTTCTATGGTGTTTAACGTAAGCCATGACCTATAAAAGTAATCAAGATGAAGGTTGATGGTTCTATGTTCAAAGCATTCGAAATTTAACCATTAAGTGGCGGGTTCAAACTGCAATTAATCTATTTCGGTTTGAGTAACTGTATGTATCACAAAAATTTATTCAAACAGACTCAAGTCGCAGTACATAAACGTGCACTTAGACTATTACTCTCCGACATTGTTGGTTAAGGACCGTGTTCCATTGAAAATGGATTTTAAATGAAGGGTGGAAACTGTTATATGTTATCACAATGATATCATCTATACCATAGGGTACAAAAGTTGTGAGTTCAGTCTCATATGGAATCGCTGAACTTCATTGCTTAGGAAGTCTAAAGCCATGACGAAAAGCAACTGTACATACCCATTTGATAATAGTTGATAATAAAGTTTGTTACTAATAAAACCCAGAATTATTTAAATATTATTATCTTAAATTCGATTTATTTGTTTATGTGTTCAGTTCATATTTGTAATTGTTTATTTGTCTAGATATTGGCTTTGGTGATGTGACTACATCTTGGCGTTTCCCAGAAGATTACCAATCGCCAATAGAAACCAAGGTATTCCGAATTGTTATTTATGTGTTGATGTTACTATGTATAAGTAAGAAGATTATTTTATCGATGCGGTTTCGAACCCAGCTTCATCTAATTTACTTTTGAAAATCAAACAGTACTACTTATTAAGTCTCTATTATAATGCGAAAAGAGTTAAAATTGCCTACATTATCAGCGTTAAATTAAAAATATATTTGATCACGCAACAAACACCCAATAATTTGACCGTTTAATTAAGAACCAGATTAGACCAGAATGAGCGTTTATCGACACAAATACAGAACAATCAGTAAGTGGAATGAATTTGGTAAGATAATCAACCTCCTGTATTTAGTGCATGGTGGTCTAGCTTCAACTGACTCATGATCTTAACCATTGAAATTACTATAATATCCACAAAACCCATCTGATATTAAATTATATTTCTTTGAAGGAGGAACTAACATATCCAACTGATTAAATAAATAGTTATTTTATTCGTTTGCTTAGTTATTCCTTGGAAAATATACTTCTCTCGATTCTTCACAAGTTAAAACAAGAAATGATAGCGAACAAATATATGTAGTGAACGAGAACTCAGGTAGAACCGACCAATGTATATAGTAATTCATGCAAAGTTACAGAATTCTTTGGTAAAATGTGAAAACCATATATTACATTCTTCAATTGTCTCAAACTTCATTGTTCCTTCAATCCCTTTTGTAATTACACTGTTTACATCCCCGTTTTCTTCAATTCCATCTTCACAACCTTCTACTGCCTGGCACTTCACTTCTGACTGGTGTTACGTACTATTTATACCGACGTAATTACCATACACCATATATATATTTCTAAATCCTTATGAATAACGATGTAAACAATACTATGTTACGTCCAAACGAAGAATAATAGATGAGTGGTAACTGCCAGGGATTATTTATGAACTATTATTACATATATTCTTATTGGATAGTTATTAAGTAACTAGCTTTTATATATGTTACTTACTTACGCCTATTGCTCCTCGTGGAGGAGCATCAGCCGCCCACTAGCATTCTCCATCCAAATCTGTCCTGGGCAATCCGTTCTAGTTACTATTCATCCTTTATATATCTGCTTTCAATTCCCAACGCAGTGTGTTCTTTGGCCTTTATCTTTTCCGTTTCTCTTTAGGATTCCAAATTCAGAGTTGACTCAAGGTTGTTAGTATTGGTTGACGCATCATTGGTTTAGCACAGGGACAAAGTCATGAAAGTTGATAGTGTGACTAACGATTTTGTCACGTAGTATTTAACAGGCCATAAGACATAACATGTTGGAGTTTATTTATAATTTAAGTAGGACTTTTCTAATATTATCTCAACTCACTCACTACTGCTAATTGGTTGAAAATCGTCGGACTTAAATATTTGATAGTTAAGTATCAATCATTTTGTTTACAAAGAAAACTTCTGACAGAACAATCTGTGTAGTTTTTATTTTACCTTCTCTCAATTGATTGCACTCATAAAAAGAGTTTAAAAGGAATATATATATATTGAATACTTCTTTTGGTAATTCATTCCTTGAAACTAAGAAAAAAATGATTTGTTTACACCTTTTTAAGTCTGCTAGATTTACTGCATTAACAAGTAATAAACAAAACTCAAACATCTCTGGTTGTTTACAGCAATACGACAATACTACTAACGACAATAACCTTCCATTTATTTCATCAACATGTAATGGTTTATTAACAGAAAGTCAATATTTTGAAACTCATCCAGTTTTTCAAGATCATCTATTAAAATTATGTTCATTTTATAAATCTTTGGGTAAACCAATTCACTTGTTTAATCGTTTACTACATGATTCCGGTGTAACTTATGCTTATTGGCCAATTTATCAAGGAGAAAACGACAAAGAACAACAACAACAACAAAGAGAAGAACAAGAGAGAGAAAAGGAATCAGTACAGCATATTACTACTGATTCAAAACATAGCGAAATTTTCATACCTATAAATTTTAATTCAACTGATCATCAAACGACCACTACTGATAATGTAAATACAACAACAACAACTGCTACTACTACCAACAGTGATGAACCTACAACAACATTGACAGTAGTCAATAAGATTTCGAAAAAATTATCAAATTACATCGTTGGTTTATGTAATTCACATAGATTGGTAATGATACAGGCGAATTGTTCGCCTGAATGGGATAAAGAAGTAAGTTGTTTAATAAATTGTACAGTTCTATTACTATGGAGCGTTTGTAGATGTGATTGAAATTCATGGTTTACATCATTGACCAATCTTAGTTAGATAATCATTGAAAACCAAAAAGTACTGAGTAACTGTTTCGTCTTAGTATGGGACTTCTCAGCAGCAAAGCACATCCATGACGCCGTAAGAATCTGAACACTTAACATTTAGACCGTTCAGTTGCCGGTTAGCTGTTTACATGTCTAACTTCACGCATTTCACGGTTTTTATTTGACGCAGTTAAAATGTGATACGACTGAGTACTCGAATATTATGCGCTACAGAAAATAACATTTGTGAGTCCTTATACCGAATCAAGTAGTTTTCGTAGGAAGCGTCTCCTCAAGCTTCTGACCTAAAGACCCAGCCCACAAGGCAGTTGAACAAAGCCAGATGGTGCTGTCCGATGGTAGTCAGCGACTACAAATGTTTCCCTCAGGATTCTGGAGCCAACGTACACCATTAGTTTAGAATCAGGATTTCCCAGGTAAAACCTTCGTATCGGCCAAACAAACACAAAATAAGGTAATTCGTTTATCATATATACATCTGTGTACTCGGTTTCGAATCACTAGACTACTTAGCCATCTTACAACGATACTAGAGGTTAACTGTCTCACATGGTTAGAGTTTATTGGTTACAGCTTCTTCCTACGTCCCTGGGATTTATGACATATATTCCGATGGTAATGGTAAACGATAGATTTGATAGTTGGTCTGCCTTTTCAGCATTAAATATCAACATACTTTTATTCTATTTTTTGTTAGGAATCAACGTCAAGGACGCTACCCACCACTGTTCACGATCACTGCGTAGGATTCTTATCGGCTTGCGTTTAAGCTGACTCCGCTCTTCGTTATGTTCAGAGCCAGATGGAATGAGTTTTCGAGCATCTATCAATGCGGTAGATGCTGCTGAGCTCCAGTGTTGCTCCCTAACCTTCTGGTTTACCTTACTAGCAGATATCACTGCTGTTTCCACAGCTTTTCGGATATCATTCCATGCTGCCTCAGGGTGGGCATCACACACATGGCTGCCTAACTGTTTTCCTAGTTGTTCCTGAAATATACTCTTAGCTTGACTATCATTAAGTAGGGCACTAAGAGGTTTACTTGCAGCGTCTTTCCTACGTCCAGTAAGACGCAAGCAAATACGCGCTCGCACTAGAGCATGATCTGACTCTAGGCATGTGGTCCAGAATGAGCGACAGTCTTCTATCGAGCCCCTCCATCGGTGGCTGATAGCGATGTGATCTATTTGGGTCCGACGTTGGGACGAATTAGGGGGTCACCATGTTAAAAGATGTTTTTGCTTATGCTTAAAGTTAGTATTTGCAAGAAAGAGGCGGTTATCTGAGCGGTGTCCGAAATCTAGTACTGATACACGACATGCAATGTGCTACCCCCCAAACTGACTGCTTGGGCGAGAAAGTACATTGGGCTACCGAATACAATACACAAATACCCATATAAATATTATACAACTCTACCGCTTAGGAAATCAGTCCATTTCTTAGCCAATGAAATACACTTGTCCTACAGGTCACTTCTAATTGCTATCGATCAACCCTCTAATTTGGCTGCCCCTGATTGGTTTACCATATCACTATTCGACTAAAGTAGGGCGGTAGTTTAGAGATTAAGGCGTTCGGCTTTCACTCACTAAGTTCTCAAGTTCGAACTCCGCTTAAAATAGTAAGGTTTAAACAACGGGATAGTAGTATCATTGACTCTCACTTGAAGTGTGGCTCATACTTCAAGCACATATCCAAGTGCCTGGTGGATGATAGTTAATTATACATATATTATTTTATTAGTATTGATTCACCAACCATAATAACGATTATTATCCACTCCGAAAATGATATTTTCTTTAATTCATTAATTATATTAACAGCAATACATAGAATAAATGTTGTTGATCAGTCAGTCAGTAACAACGTAGAACTTCGCACGTACGTACATCAGTTTGAGTTGCCATACCACATTAGCACAGAGATTCAGTTGTCGATTCAAATCCCGTAGTTGTACAGGTAGTAAGAGTATAAGCAGTAATCGGAAAGATTAGGGTTTGGAGATGTTATTTAAAGAGTATAATCCAGTGAAATAAATTTGGAAAGAGAAAACAGAAAGGGACATGAAGAATTCAGAAGATTAGAATTTGGGAGGACACAAAGAGTGGATACACCTGCGCACACCACTGCAAACGATTTTGAGCCATATCATTCAGGGTCTTTAACCAACGGTTGCTATCATCTCGCGGTCCCCAATCAGGTAGTCTACACCTACCAACATGACTCAGTCTACTTGTCAATGACTTCATGGACTTGTGCCATGTTTTGGTCTGGCCGCCCCTAGATTTCTTCCAAACTACTCCTATACCACTGAACATCGCATGTGGTCCCAGGATATACGAGCAATATTTCGAAGATATCTATGATCGAATACTAGTAACCTACGAATATCCTCTACTCTTACCGGCCATGTTTCACTGCCATAAAGTAGGACGAGACGAACTGCTGCCCAGTAAACACGTCCTTTGGTAAAAATGTTGTTGATAATCTCTATCAAGTTGAACAGTCTTAATTACTATCAAAATAAACGCATTAATACCAAAAAGTAATTGTGTTCTTTGTCAATTTTGTAAGTATATTTTGCATTACTAATGTACCCTTGTTGAATATTGTTGTTATTCGTTTGTTTTCTTTTTACTTTTTACAGAAATGCTACCATAAAGTGTGTAAATTCTGTACAAAATTATATTCTAATTTAGCGGAAAATAGTTTAATCGGTGTTATTTGTACAGGTTCCGAATTTCAAAAGCCATTATCTAAAAAACGTACACATGCAAACATTTTAAAATCAGCTTTAGGCAATTTCTATATAACACTCAATTCAAATGTTGTTGTTCAAACTACAACTGTTGATAATGATTCCAAATGAAGATGCTTATTAGTATTGAATTTTGTTATGTGTAAATTTTGAATTTCCAACCGACTCAATCTTTTGTTTATACCATAATAATTTCCGAAATATAGAAATAAACATTATTGTTTTGTATAAATTACGCATATTTCTTATGATAATGTAATTATTTACTAACAAAGAGATATATGATCGATTCCTACGTTTTTCATTAACAAGTCATTGTTTTAATGGTAAAGAAACGTCTACATCAATCAAGGAAATGAAACTTGGTGATTATCGCTGTATCTTTGTTGAACAAATAAACCAGCAACTAATCTTATATCGCACCTGTGATTAGAGGACTGTCTTTATTTCCACAAATAATTATATCAGTCAGTTAAACGCTATACAGAACTTATTACATATGTACATCGGTTCAAGTTGTCACATCCCATTAGTACACCGAGATGAAATGGTCAGAATAAATACCAGATTAATAGGGGCAGTTAGAGTATTAGTGGTTATAGAAATGATTGATTGAAAATACGACCGAAGAAAAAATGAATCAGTGAGATAATCGAACTCTTTCAATAGTTCACTCGAAACAAATATATATTGATCCATGTTCTTTCATTGAATACCTAACAACATATAGTTGTATTGTGTAATGATTTAACCTTTACAACTGTAGATTATAGTGTGAACTACTTATATAAACATAAGTAGTATATAACGATAGAGATAGAATATATTTCAGTAGAAGATCGAGAAGGAAAGAACGGAATGCCATCTGTATTAAAATTCAGACACAATGAAATCTGAGATTATTGACTGATATTTGCAAAAGGAACAGTCAAGTTTGAGAAAACCGGTTAAAATTTTGCAAGTTAGGTATTTACTGTTTGATTCTCAGATTTCAATAAGAGATCCTGTAATTTTGTGTTCAAATACATTCGATTACCCACATTTGTGTTCTCGTTCACTACAGTATGACAATTCAAGGTGCATAACCTGTAAATTTCAATTATTTGAGTGAAATGGTAACGAAAAGTAAAACCATTTAAAAATGTTACTATAAGAAGAATGTTGTGTTTAGAAAACATGAATTTGTTGTTTTTAATCATAAAACTCAATTAGACAAATGATATGAGGCTTTTTTTCAATCTCAAGAAAATAACACGGTTTAAAACATTTTATTTTTTACAATTTGGAAGAAATAATTTGATTTAAATCATTTGTTATCAGTAGGGGTTTGTGGAGATTTTAGAAATTTCACAGATTGAAATCATGATTCAGTTGAAGGTAGACCACCATGGAAAACCTGGGAGCACTGGACGGCCGTTCCGTCACAGTATGGGACTTCTCAGCAGTGCGCATCCACGATCCCTCACCCCGCGAGATCCGAACCCAGGACCTATCAGTCTCGCGCCAGGCGCTTAATCAACTAGACCACTGAGCCAGCATCCACAAACCCTTTCTGATAATAATCATCTGCACACTAGTGACCGATTTCAAGAGATACTCCTGGAGTTCTAGTGAGAAGCCGTTACCAGTGGAGTTCAACCAGGTCTGTTGTGAGATATAAACTCACTGAAGACAATGGTGTACGGTGACGCAACTTCGTGGATTAGTTGAAGTTAGACATTAACACCATTGGATGCCGGTTCAGGCGTCTAGTTGGTTATGCGCCTGGCGCGAGACTGATAGGTCCTGGGTTCGGATCTTGAGGGATCGTGGATGCGCACTGAAGAGAAGTCCCATACTATGACGAAACGGCCGTCCAGTGCTTTCAGGTTTTCCATGGTGGTCTAGCTTCAACTGAATCATGATCTCAGTCTGTTAAATCATTTGGTTTTAGACTTGTAACTTCATGTTTATCTACAGTATTTTTGAGTGATTCTGACTGGTGAAATACATTTGTTTATTTAATGCAGATAAAAGCGACTATGAGTAAATGGCTTTAGTTATCATGTACAAGTTATAGGGGTTTTACGTTGTCTTTTCCTCATACATAATTAACTGAAACATAGAAAAAATTATGTGATAGTCGATCTGAATGGGGGTAATTCCAACCATCGAACTGATTATGGTAGTTTTATTGAGAAAGTTTCATTATCCAAAAATCCCAATATAAGTAAACCGATGGATACGTTGGACTGGAGAATCTAACAAAACGTACTGCTTAAATAAGAGACAGAGTGTTCTGTGCTTTTTCACTCATAAGTACGCTATCATCACCTTAAGGTTGTGGGAAAATAAGCTCTTTTAAACTAGTTTATTGATCAGTTAAAACCATTAGTGCAGATTTTAAGTGGTTAACACTGCCTACTATGATGTCGCCATGATGAGACTTGTAGTATCGTCTTTTATGGAAAACACCTGTATAAATATTTAGCCTTCATAAGAACGCAGTACTTTCAGTTTTATTTCTAATAAGCTGTTATTAAGGATTAGTGGGTAACATTCTGTTTGATGAGGGATAAACATGATCTCATGCAAAGACATCAATTCATTTTTGTATTGGCTGTATGGATCTTCCCATTGACGTTTAGGACTACAATTGACCAGTCCATTGGTATATGTACGTCCTGTGCAGGTTTCCTCGATGTTCCTATTAGGCTGTATAAGCAGAAATGGATAGTGGCTAGCAGTGGAATCCTCAACGTGCGTCTTGTCCTACTTGATACTCGTCAGTTGAATACACTTGCATCCCAGAGACTAACATTGTGCCGGGCTCTGATCAACTGCAGCCAAAACATCAATAAAACGATTCAAATATCCAATACAAATAAATTAAAATTCATACAAGTGAATCGTTATTTGGAATCAGTAACTAAGTTGATAACGTAATGGCGTTTTGAGCGAACAATAGTGGACTCGAGTCCCGAACTAAACACCAACAGTAGGATGTAAGCGTGTGCAGCTGACAAGTTCCAGATGAGAAAATTTGTCAGTTTCTGAATCGGGAGAGTAAAGAATGCAATAAACCTGCTTGCTATCTTCGTGTTCTAATTAGTCATTGTGTGAACAAATGGGAATTAGGATTTCCAGTCGTTGTTCAAAGTCATTAGTCATTTATCTGATTGGTGCACACGAACGGATCATTATTAGTCTCTGATCTAGTGGACAAAAATTCAGAATTTTAAAGACCACAACAAATAAACATTGAATGTTTTATTTTTTTGCCATAAAAAAACTTATTTACAAGATAGATTAAAATACTCATGTTAGCAATTTTGAAGTTCCTGGAGTATAACAGTTTATATGTTTACCTTCAACATGAAAATGATATGTGCTCGAAGTGGTAACATTCTGAAGATTAATATTATCCTCTATTGAACGTTTCCAACAAATTAACTTAATTTTGAAAAGAAAAGAGAAAAAGGAACAACACAAATTTCAATAAACTGATGTAATAGTAATTAACTACACAGCGGAAATTTATATAAAGTAACGTTATTTTGTCTCTACATCAGACTATTCTGGTTTAGACTTCAAAAGTTATCGTAAACTGTGATTGGTTAATCAACAGTTATATATCGGTTCACATTCCCATACCCATTAGCACAGAGATAGAATTACCAAGGCAAATCCCATTTTAATAGAAGTGTGGTGTATGCTACTTATGTCGACATAAGTAGTGTGTGACACCAATCAAAGGTGGGATGTCTGGCAGCAGATCGACTCGAAAAGAACAGGAACAGAGAGTAATCTTTATGACAATAAAGGTAGATGAAGTTTGATATAATTGATGGAGGATTTACAAATGAAATATTTGATGCATTTATTTTATATTTCATTAAAGAACTCTGGAATTCAGCATTAAAATACATTGGTTGTCCCCACCTGCGTTCCCGTTCACAACAGAGATGGTAACAGTATAAGTGGTGGTTGAGAAAAATTAGGCACATACGATTCAAAGAAATATAAATTGAAGCTCTCTAACTGCTGGTTACGATAATCACGCGGACCCCAACCAGGTAATGTACACCTGTTGAAAAGGATCAGTTCCATTGTCAATAACATCGTGAACTGGTGCTATGTCTTCCTCTGGTAGATCCTAGCTTTTTCCCAGCGTACTCTTATAACAGACAATATCTGCTGTCGAATTAGGTGATGGCTGAGAATACGTGACACGTGATGACTTACTACCTCATCGATAGATTTGCTATTCTTACCTAGTGCCTTATCCCTAACCCAAGGATTGCTTGATTTGAAGACACTTAGTAACATATGGTGGTCAGAATACTCTGCATTTTATCGGCGTCTTTATCAAATAACCACATCATCTGCGTATTCTAGGTAAGAAAGTTAACCTCTTAGTAAAGGACAAACCCCTGAAAGTTCAGATGATGAGAGTGGTATCTTTAAAAGTGTCAATAACAAGGTTAACTAAAAATGGGGAAAGACAATCCTGACGAGCACCAATTGAAGTTGTCGATTTCAATAACAGTTCGCCATAAGCTCTGACTCAACCAGTAATGAGAATAGGATAAACAAAGCTGAAGAAAACTGTCTAATCAATTAGGAATCAGCATGCATAATGATATCTCATCAGTCTTCAAATAGAAATAACGAATAGTTACAGATGTCTGATGATAAATTTTATGTGAATTATTTTGGGAACAAGGGATTATATAAACATACTAAATCATAGCAAATACTAAAGAGTTTACAAGAAATTTACCTGACCATCAACCAATGATGTATAACCTGTTAGTAATGGTTTACATTCTAGTGTGATTGAAGCCCGTGATTTCCATAGAGCAACTAGATGTACTAAAGCAGGTTCGTATTCTGATACAATTGAATCTTGGAAAAAATCTCCAATATGTATTCCGATACAAACTAATATATTCGCTATATTGATGGCAGTTTGCTGATCACGTGAATGATAAAGCCAACTACATAAAAATTGTTCTAATTCACGTACAGTAACTCCTAGATCATATAAAGCTGTTATATTATCAATGAAAATGCCAATATTTTTTTGTTGCACACCATTCGAAGGATTAGTTGTGTAATTATTCTTCAGAAATTCATCAGTCTAAAAATAGGTGGTTTTTATGAAGAAAAAAAGCGAAAAGTATACAATCAGTACGTAATCTTAAGTGATCAGATTTGCACTACAGAGAAAAATTTTTACCCTCGTTATTTATAATAGTAGTGGTGTAACCTCCTTGTCTAAATTCAGTGACATGAAGATAACGAATTTATTTCTACATATATTTCTAAGCGCACCCTACTGAGTTTCAATCCAGTAAGAAACAGCTATTTCCTAGTTCTTGGTGTGTTTACATTGGATAGAAATTTAATCTGGGCAGAATATTGAGAGAATTCATCTATACGGTATTGTTTCAAAGATGGTGAGATATACCTCCTCACCTAATTGTATCAAGGCAACTGGGTAGTATCATTAGCACACAGGCAAACAATATGGAGTTACATAATAGAGATTATATTAGTAGAAATGAGTTTTTTGAGTTGAACAATTTGATTGTGAAATTTGTTATTGTCTTTTTAGACAACTTCAGATAGAAATGAGCTATTTGAACTTTACAATACATAACTAACATCATGTTTTATTAACATTAAATTCAAATAGCTCAGTTCTATCTGAAGTCTAATATTGATAATGTTGTTTAGAAAAATAATGAACACTTTACAACTAAACTATAACAAATCAGAGAATGCAAATTCATTAACAGTTCCTATCTTACCTAATAAATTATTTAACACAAAGATTCATAATTCCGTAATTCTTCAAATAATACTTTTTTTAAGAAGCCCCCAAATGACCTAGTATGGCCGAGTGTGAGGAAAGTCCGCTCTTCCTCTCGAAATACTCTCACATGGTCACACGTTTATAGCCTCTGTCAGGGAAGTCCTAGTCACTGCTTTCTCGTGGCGGGGATGCTTTTTTACCAAATTGAGAGGACGAAAATCGAATGTCTGACGCTTTAACCGGGTTGGTGGACATAGAGAATCCACCTAGAGGTATTTGGAAAACCCTGATTTCAAACCAATGGTGCACAGGGCCCCAGTATCCTGAAGGAACAAATGGCGTATGAACCAATCGTTGGTCACCGGCTACCATGGGATTGTATCTATTACGATGCTACACTGCCTTGTTGATCAGACCTTCATGTCGAAGGCTCCGGGCGTGACCCTGCAAGAGAACCACCTGTCTCGGTTTGGGCACCCGGTCAGTATCACAGCCATCACACATATCAAATGAGATTTGTGAGGCGTATATGTATTTGGTGCCTCCTTGTACCAATATCTATGTGTTAAAATAAATAAATCTTTTTAAGAAAACACACACACATATATACATATATACATCTAATTACCTTGTCTTTGATATAATTCTTAATAATAGTTCCAATATTTTCATCAGTAATCAAATCTTTATCACTATTATCTAATTCAGAGTATGAATTTGATTTGAGTAGTAAATTCTCTAGCATTACTGTCATATCAATAATGGTTAAATTATTTTTCAATGTTATATTATTTGCATATAATGGATTGATTAATTTATGATAAATATTCCATGATTTATGAAAACAAAAAATTAAGCATTTAGTTGTGTTTTGCTGATTATCAGGAACTGTGCTATTATTATTATTATCATCATCATCATCATCATCATCCTTAATGATATTCATGGTAGTAGGAATAGGAGACGGATGAATTATTGTTGTAGCATAGTTTTGTAGAAATTGATTAATACATTCAATGAAGAATAATTCATGTACAGCATTTCCATGACTTAATAATAAGCATAATTTGTTATTAATATGATTAGTATTATCGTTATTATAGACTGATGCTTTATGTAATTCAGTATTATGAATTGAAGAATTAGTAGGAGGATGAGGTGGGAATAATAAATTTCGTAAAATTTCTGAGAAATTCATGAATTACGATAAACAAATTAATTGTATAATAACTGAAAGAGAGAGAGAGGGAAATCCTGTTTAGTATGAGAAATACAAAGTTAGAAATAAATGAAATGGTAATTGACCTAGTGGGGTTTTAAGCTTGTTGAAACTCATTACTCAAATGTTTATTCAATATCAAAGTAATAAATTCTTTTTCTATGAATATTGATTTTATATTACTGGGATATTAATTAGGCAACAGATGACTATCAATTTAAAAAACACCCCCCCACAGTCAGTGTTAATGTGCAATTTATCATTGCTAAGTACAGATTGAAATGTTGAGCTTCTAGCCAAACGGTTTATATGCAGTTAATACAACACAAAACAAAAAGCGATTCATTAATTTCTAATTTAGTTAAAACGAGAAAACATCATGTCTCTCAAATGAGATGTTTGTATAACACTAAAATTCTTTAGGATTAATTTCAGAATAAAAATAACTGTCAACCGATTCAATGTGAAACTAACTAATTTTCGTGAAGATTTCTACTATTGAACTTTTATTCAGTTAGTCCATTTTTCATCATTGAGTTCTAAACAACTTACTTGAATTATAACATTGATTTACAAGTGCTAATGCACTTTGTTGATTGAATATCGTCCGTTCACAGATACAGTATGATTCCATACTAATTCAACCCTAGTTAACAGTGATATAACTGTTTCTTAACTAAGTAATGACTAAGTCTGTTGTGTAGTTGTTTCATGTGATGTTTCAATGTGTCCTGGATACATAGCTTTGGAATATTTACGTGTACACGTAATCTACACAAAATGCATTGTTTTGGAATCTTTCCATACACATACAGTTCTCAAAAAATAACTCGTTGAAAGTATTTCCTGTGAAACCTTTTGATAATGTTCATATGTGGCAATGGATGAAGTTTCGCGCAAGATCATAGATCGACTGAATTAAAACATTAACACAGTTGGATGCCAGCTCAGTAGTCTAGAAGTTGACATGGTAGGATGAAAAGGCAAAATTACACTTTTAGCACATTGTGATAACTGTCCAACATCATTTTGTTTTGTTTTTAAAAGAAATTCAATACGGTGAATACTCAGTGTATTATTTTGCAGTGTGATATGTCATTCAATATATAACATTGTTTGTATTAAATTAAAGTGAACTTTAGTTCATTATGACATGGAGCATATGATTTAGTTACGATTCTGGACATTTTTCATAAACATTACTTTTAAGTAATTATTAATCAAATCGGTGTAAAAATCAATACTTTGGTTTATAGTAGTAATAGTGAGGTTAAACGCAGGATATTAGAAAATGGTGGTAAATCAGTTGATGAAGTTGTGAATCTACATCGAGTGATATTAGTTGGTCCACGTCTTACGCATGCTTAACAACCGATTACCACGGCGCGCAATGCTGCCCACAGTTGGAGGCGGATGGAAGAAAGCTAGGAGAGGCCAAACCAAAACAAGACATCAATTCATAAAGTCACCAACTTCTTGTTTAAGCCATGCTGGTAGATTCAGACAACATGGTTGGAGTTCACGCGATTATCTCAAGCAGTGGTTGGAGAATGAATGATGTGCTTCAGAACCGACGACAATGGTGTAAGTGTATACACTCTTTTTATTCCTTTAAACTATGAAATTAAAATGGATTTGTACCTTTCTTTCTACGACCTAATTCTCTCTTCCAGTATTATGTCTTTATATGTAATCTTCCTTTCATATATTACTACGATTGAAGTAACTACTTCTACGAATTTGGTATCCACTTTGTTGTGCTAATGAGGTAAGGCAACTTGGACCGGTGCATATGTGTGCCTGGTCCTACGTTGTAGATGATTGACTAACAAATCAATATATAAATAAGTACATTTTCAACCGCTGTTGTCGTGCTTTCATTTGTATCAGTCTTCTGTGTTTTTACTTAGTGTCGTGGGAATTGTAGTTCTTTGTTTTCAAATATAAGAAATAAGTGACGCGGATACAACAGAGATTAGGCGTTTACGCACGAGACCGACAGTCCTAGGTTCAACGCCTAAGTGGGGAATCGTCAATGCGCAATGATAAGAAGTCCTACGCCAAGACGAAACAGTCATCTAGAGCATCTAGGTTTCCAATAATGATCTAGCTTAGATCAGCTCGTGATTTCAGTTGTGAAACTACAAAATCATGCTTTACAAACATACAGAATGTAATATATACACATATATCTTAAACAGAAACAGATAGAAATCATGTTCTTGCCTATAAAGTATTGTATTTTATTTATTTCTTTATATACACATATAGAATATTGTTATGCAAATGTATTAATATAACATTGATATGCTACGAACATAGAAATTATGAAAACTAACATGAAAATGAAACAAACAATAAGAAAAAAAGTGGAATAATTGTACATTAACACAGAGAAGAAAAAGGTGAAAAGGATTTAAAACACTATGGAAGTAATGAGATTTGTAGTTGACCATTGTGATGTTTACACTATATGTGTGAACAATAGATTTTTGTTGCTGTTATTTAAATATATTCCATAAAATAAAGAACGAAAAATTACACTTAAATAGATTGTTTCATTATTTTATTATTATGTACAGTCATTTTCTGTTTTGTTATTAACATAGACAACCAATGAATAATAGTTAATCCAATAAATAAATAAACTCCTGGTAAATAAATCAAACTGACAATTAATTGTGTTTGATATGATCCAATATGTAAAATAATACGTGAAGAAATCATTTGAGAGCTTGTTATAATTGGATAATTAACAATGAAATAACCATTAGTTGAATCAATCACTGACAGATATAATTCATTATGATATGAATTTAATGGTAAACTATGTTGAATAGACAATGAACCACTGAAACAATAACAATGATGATGACATGTCATATTTGTAGTTAGATATGCATTGGACCATTCCGATATTGGTACACCAAATGATGTTAATACCTAAATGAATAAGTAGTATTTACAGTAATAATAATAACAGTAATAGTAGTAGTGTTAATAATGGTGATAATAGTAGTAATAATGATGGTAATAGTAGTAATAATAATAGTAATGATAGTAAGTGTAAGCAAAAAACCTAATGAAAAAAAAGCATTCATATGAATACCAAAGCTACCTGGTAAAATTCATTTGTTAAATAATGACATTATTTATTTATTTTAACACATAGATATTGGTACAAGGAGGCACCAAACATATATTCTCCACACAAACCTTATTTGATATGTGTGAGGGCTTTGATACTGCACGGGTGCCCAAACCGAAGCAGGTGGTTTTCTCAGAGGGCCACACCCGGAGCCTTCGACCTGAAGGTCTGGTCAACAAGGCAGTGGAGCATCGTAAAGAGATGCAGTCCCATGGTAGCCGGTGAGCAACGAATGGTTTATACGCCATTTGTTCCTTCAGGATACTGGAGCCCATGTGCACCATTGGTTCGAAATCAGGGTTTTCCAACTTCCCTAGGTAGACTTTCCATGTGCAACAACCCGGTTAAAGTGGCGGACATTCGCTTTTCGTCCTCTCAATTTCATAAACAATACCCCTGCTACGAGAAGGCAGTGATTAGGACTTCCCTAGCAGAGGCTATATACGCGTGGCCATGTGAGAGTATTTCGAGAGGGAGAGCGAACTCTCCTTGTTTTGGCCGTACCAGGGCATTTGGGGGCAAATAATGACAGATTAATATATAAACCATAGTTGCTAGTACTTATGTGAACAGAGAAACATAGAAGCTGTGACAAACAACAGAAGCTATTTTGGTAACATTATTTTACTTAGTTCAAAACACTAACATTTAGTTTTGTCCCTAGTTGACTCTACAAACCATAAGCTTTCGTTTGATACATGATTCACTGCTATACTCTTTTCTGTTCTAAAGCTGTTGTAATTTAAACACAACCTTTGGCACTCCATTTTTCCGCCCTAATGCTTAGTTTTGGACATAATTTTATTTTCCTAATTGTTTGTGCATTGTGGTTGTGTTGCTCGTCTATTTCTTCATGTATCTTTTTGAACTTATCTGAATCAGAATGTGAATCGGAGTTGGAGTCGGGAATAGATAAAATAATGTTCCAGATGACTCGTCTTTTCTCACTTGCGCTTGTCAACCAATCAGCTGATAGAATAGTTTTCGTCTGTTAACACCAGACAGTTAGTCTCAATTCGGAATCACACATTTCTAGCCTCAAGGCTGAACCAAATAGCCTATTGCGTCAAGGCCTTAATTTAGATCGAGACAAGCTCTCTCCTGTATATTATTCGGTAGATGGATCAAGGACGTAACAGGTACATTGTTCACTTATCAAATAAACGACGAGTATACTGAACAGTAGCTAGCTGTTATATCTGTAATACATTTCGATTAAAGATAGATATTAATAGGTTACTAATATTTTATTATAGATACATTGATAGCGTCGTTCATATATACAAAAACCATCGAGCAAGAAATACTAAGGGTTAGATATAGTTATATGTTGCGTGACATTGAACTGTAATTGGTTGTTAAGTGAAGACCAACAAATACTAGTTATATAGATTATTATTATTATGTGTAGAAGACTGATTTCATTATAATAATTCTGTTCAAATTTCACACACTATTTGATCGTCTATCTCTGGTCTTTTCTACTATAATTGATATCACATTACTACTAGTAAACACAATTTCCCAGGTTTTATGTTGATCATAACTGACTAAATTAATAAATAAACAACAACAACAACAACAACAAAAACATGTATACATATTCATTCTTTTGAAAGTAAAAGACAATAAGAATTTCCCTAAATAACTTACTCTGACTAAAAATCGTTTTGCTAATCGGGATTCATTAAATAAATTTAAATGATATGAACAATCTCTGATTAAATAATTTAAAATTCTTTTATTATCATCAAGAATAATAGAATCAACTGGTTCGAAATGATCGTTAACGAATTGAACACTGATCTAAAAAGTTTGGAAAAAATAAAGCAAACAAATATTACTTTTCAGTATAGGGGTTGTGGAGATTATTACGTTTTTGATTGAGATCATGAACTGATTGATGTTAGACCACCATTGAAAACCTGGAAGCACCGAACGGCCGTTTCGGTCTATCGTGGGACTACTCAGTAGTGCGCATCCACGACCCCGCTCGAGTCCAGGGCCCTCAGTCTCGCACGCGAACGCTCAACTTACTGGACCACTTAGCCGGCATCCTGTAGGTCGAGTTCGCGTGCGAGACTGAAAGCCCTGGGTTCGAATCCCGCGAGCAGGATCATGGATGCACGCTGCTGAGGAGTCCCACAATAGACCGAAACGGCCATCCAGTGCTTCCAGGTTTTCAATGGTGGTCTAACATCAGTCGGCTCATGATCTCCATCAAAGAAATATATTACTTAATTGTAACGTACATATATTTGATGATTAAGCATAGCCTTCAAGAAACTATGGATATAGATATTGTATTAGTTGGTATTTGTAGTGCATACTACTTATTCTGGCAGACATAGGTAGTATATAACAGGAGTTGGAATGCTTGTCAAAAGAAGATTGAATTGAAGAGAACAAGAAGAGGAACAAAGAGCATTCGAAGTAATAACAGAATTGGAAGTCATGGAGTATGTAAAAGTTAACCGATGAAAGATGTGCAAATGATGAATTTGGTATCTGGTTTTCATAATTTATGAATGCACTCTGTAATGTTGTTCCTAAACAATTAATTTGTTCTCCCCACCAAGTCTTCATTCACGACAGGTATACCAGTAGCTTTTAAGGAAGCTGTTGGTTTCCTGATTG